TTACCCAGTACTAATTAGTTAAACAGTATACTCTGCAACAAACACAAAATCAAAATTTATGGAAAGGGCTAGAGGCAAGATTAAAGAGCACAATGTGAAAACAGCTGACACTTATGATAGTGGCCTAGTGGGCAGTGACTCTTGAAAATAGTTAGCTGCACATGATGACTAAGCTATACTCTGGCATCTTGCTGCATGTCCAGTTCTACATTTTCTTTTCTGGGGCACACAGCTATTGTTTTATTTTCTTTTACACAGGAGAATAAGAAATAGCTCAGTGAAACCACAAGGATCAAAATGAGATTAGGTGGATTATCTTCAACGAATCCCTCCCTGTACCTTGAGCTGAATGTATGGTAGAAGTTTGATTTGCTTTTGTAGATCTATTCCCCATGTGGGTATGTCTAGAGATAGCAGGGTATTATATCTCAGACTAAGATGATGCTAAGGAAAACAACTGCTCTAAAAACTTACAAAGTTAACAAATTCAAGAGATAAACCACTACAGTAATGAGCAAACAAAACAAGCAACCCAAGATGAGCTGAAGCCTGAAGTGTCACTTTCCAAAAGAAAAGGGCTTTTACTGGAAATACATAACAACCAGGAGGTTAAAAATTCATGCAGAACAATAGCACATTTTTCCCATAGAAAGAAAACATAAACACAGAAATATCTGTGGTGGCAGGAAACTAGAAAAACTTACAACATCACCCCCATCATTAACATACTCTATGAAAGATCCAACAGCCCTGTTCCACAGAAGACAAAACTCTTACTCACAGCTAAGAATATCAAACCAGAATGGTCAGAATAGCATGATTAAACTTAGCATACTTTAGGGCAGCAATTCTGACACGAGAGCTAGCCTCGTCTTGCAGGCATTTCAGTAAAATAGGTTGCAAATCATTCAGATGAGATTGAAAAGTAGTTCCGATAGTTTCAGTAAGGGAACTGAACAGTATCAAAGCTACCTGTTAAGAAAAAAGTGAGCGAGTAAGCATTGACATTATCCACCAAAAAATGCTGCAGGTTATAGAACTAGGAAATTGGTCCGGATCATCAGACTTGTCAATATCAAATATTGTACTATTAGTATGTTGCTAACCAAAAAAAAATACAACTTTTATATTCTTATAGCATAAATCAAGTTCATAAATTTATAAAAACAGACAATGAAAATGTAAAGCACAAAAGGCTCTTCTTATGTTTAACAACAATATGATTCAAATTGCCAATTCTCAGGTTGATTCTATGGTCCTAGACAATTACGTAGTATAAGCATGCATAACTAAACATAATATCGGAAGTAACACAAGTTTGATAAGAACACTGAAACTCGGGATAGACTTACTTCTCTATGATCTTCCTGTGGACTTTGGCTGCATTGGAAAATAAAAGGTAACAACTCAGGCCATTCTCCTGCAGGGACAGCGTACTTAGCTATAATACTCACAACATTTGCGCTAGCTCGTCTTACAAGATGGCTGCATAAAAGTAAGATTCAGTCTCTAACAGAAGTACATGTCAAAATACGATGTAGTTTGAATTGTACAAGTAAACAGCATTTGCACCAAATGGAAGGGATTCTAGCTTGCTAAGGAGGCTCTTTTAAATTTATCTACTTGGTTACATAAAGCTTTGATTGGTTCAGGTTGTGCTACATGACTTTAATATTTCAGTTGAAATTTCTAATAAACACCACTACAGATAAATAGAAATAGATGCTCATAAAGTCATCACATAACAACAGTAGCATTTTTAAGTTTGGGTCATGAATTCAACAGATAAAGACATCGCCATATAGCAACTAAAAAGTAACAGTATAACAGAAATCATTTTTTGTAGATTGAAACAATAAGAAAATGAACCTTGAACCATCATAAAAAGGTAATCCTGCATACTAGGTATTTCTATCAACATAATTTTCAATTTAGTAGGATACAAATAGACAATTTCAACCAACTGAGCATATGAAATCACACTATATTGACTTCTTTTATGACATGCCCTCTAATGATTCAGTTGTTTCCAGATGAACAAACCCAACCATCAGTATCTCCAACAAAGCTCAGTCTTGGAGATGCATATCAATACAACACTATCCAAGGAAGAACAACGGTTGAGCAACCAACTTCCTTATACAGGCATGTGTACAACAGTCATCTTCATCCACCTTACATTTCGATAGCATTAACATATTAAATCGTAATTGCTAACCTGTGGATTGGCCAATACTTCACAGGCACGAGCTGTTCAGCATTTGCACATCAGTTTAAGTCTCATCCAACCCAACAGGATTTAAAAAAAAAATTCCCAATTCCGGGAAGCGGAGAAGATGCGGGCGGCAGCGGTTGGGAAAAGTGGTTAGAGAAGGACCTGTGGTCGATGGTGATGGAGTCGATGAGGGCTTGCTTGAGGGAGGCCTTGGCGTGCGGCGGAAGCTTCGGCCAGTGCGAGGTGATCTTCTTGCGGAGGAGCACCGCAGCGAGCTGCCGGACGTTGGGGGTCTTGGCGGTGCGGAGGTGGTGGACGAGCGCCGGCACCACCTGCGGGTCCCGCGCCAGCCGCCGGATCTGCTCCTCCGCCTGCCGCCGCGCGTCGTTGTCGGGCATCAGGAACTGGATCAACAGGAGCTCCAGCGACTGCGCCATCCCTCCCTGTTGCCGGCGGCGGGGGTGGAGGCGAGAGGGCCAAAAACCCTACCGATTGATTCGAGAGGAGGCGTGGTTTGCTCGGGTTTCGGTGTGGCGGCGCGCGTGGGGGGCGGGAGTGGGCTTAATACTACTAGCTGGGAATATGCTCTTTTCGTTTATTTCTCTCCTGATGAAAACACGATTTTTTTATCTGGCTGAACCAGGTATTGGAATGGGCTGGGCTGGAATTGAACTCTAGTTTGGACCAATTTTATCCAAATAGACTCCGAAGTCTAATTCTATTGTTCTTACTACTGGACTACGGCTCCCATCGGATGGCCTAATCAACCAAAGAAAAAGCTCAAATTTAAATTTTCAAATTTAATTTTGAGATTGATTTTGAGATATTTTCAACGTAGTTTCTTTTTCAGCATTGGTTTTTAAGTCACAAAGAACACATATATAAAAGTTTTACCTATAAATTTATTTTTAGGGGAAAAGCCAAACGATGGTGCCTGTACGGTTGGTTATGTAGCAACAAACAGCTGATAAAAATAAGGAAACGTTAGTTTTTTTATAAACTTCTTTCTTCTAATTCATTTTCTAAATCATATAACTACATATTCTCAAAATTTAGCTGAGAATCTAGGCGAGCTGAAGATTTTGAACTAGACCTACAGCACATGCTCTAGCTAAGGCGTCACATCAAAGGAAGAATTTACACGAAGATTATATTATTTTTTTTAGAATATCATATAAAATTCGTGCGTAACAATGAATTCTTCAAACTGGACTTCAGACTTTTTTATCGATAAACTGTAAAAAGAAAAAACTCAAACTAGTGTTAGTCTGTTAGATATGGGTCCTTCTCAGGTTTCCCTTACCGTCGGTAACCGCGGGGTACGATAATGGTTACTAGCGGTAGAGTTTGGGGAATTTTTTTACCAAATTCAAAGTTTTTTTAAAAAAACATGAATGTAGTTCTTGATTTTTAGTGGCAGGTGGTGAAGAATTTTTATTTTTGAAAAAGAGTAATATAAAATCAAATTTGAGGGAAAAACTAATAATAAATTAGGAAATGGAAATAACAAAAACTATTGGTACTTAAGTTGCACTGTGCAACTAGTCCGTTAAGACCCGTTAGAGAAAAATATCTCCATAATATAGGAAATGTCATGCCGAATTTTTATATTTTACATTTAAACGTTAGGTTTGCAGTTATCCTATATATTATTCTAACTATCCCTAATCTATACATTTAAGTAGTTTTCCAAAAAAAAAAGCATTGTTCTGTGTTCAGCTACACAATTAATGTTACCACACAAGTATCGCAGTTACCGCATCAAACCATGCAGTAATCGTGACCAAACCACCGTTTTTTAATTCAAATGTTTACCGGCAAAAATCACACGGTTTTCAACGGTTAGCGCGGTAACCGTCTTACTGCAGAAGGCGTGCGCCAACTCCCTCCAAACAGTAAGGGGAACCGAAACCCTGGTCCTTCTAACCAACTCTATACAATTGTACTATCAAAATATTTTACTCACTTGACCCACGGATACCAGTTTCCACTGTAAAACTGGCAAGCATTTTAGATAATCTTTTGAGTGATCCATAAATTGAAACAAAAGAATATATCAGTTTAACTGATTTCACATCGGACACCTTGACGATTGGGTGTTGTTTGAATTTGACAAAAGACGTGAAGAATTCTCATCAATAAAAGGTAGTTCATGACCACTCGCTCTCCAGGAACAGGAGTCCAGGTCGAACTAAAAAGGAGACTGCACGGTGTTCTTTCCTAAACGTTAACAATGACATTGCAAACATAAACATAATCTCACCAATATAGTAATTGCAAGTTGAACAGTACACACAGCTCACCTTGTTACAGCTTCCGGTACCCAGCAGCACAGCTCGCGCTGTCACCTAACATCAGGCAAGGGGCTCGTCACGTATAGGGTGTGTTTACTTCATGAAAAAAGTTATAAGTTTAAAGAAAGTTAGGAGTTTGTAAAAAAAGTTAAAATTTTATATGTGTAGAAAAGTTTTTATGTAATATGATGTGATACAAAGTTAGGAATAGGGGGCAAACTAAACACGGCCATATTACTCCAATTTAGTTGCAGCTTTCAGTACCAGCAGCACAGGTTGCACAGCTCACTTCTGTCACCCTACCATCATGCAAATCGCAAAGGTTCTGATTTCTCAAGGTTTACCAACCTGCCATCTCCCATGAGCTGTTTTCCGACGAGTACGGAAGTACGGGCTGCCGCGGGCTGCGACGTGCACCCGTTAGATGGGCTCGACGTGCCCATGTATCCCCCGGCTCGCGACGCCGCCGCGGCCCACCCACGATTCGCAGGGGCGGAAATCCACACGGAAAACCCCGTCAAAATAGGCCCATCCGCCGAGACGATCATGCAGGCGAGGCGACGACCACCCCCCACCCCCACGCCGCTGCCGCGTGCCGCCGCGCTTTTTATACGAGTTCCAGCTCCGCCGCGAGTCCGCGACTGCTGCTGCTACTGCTACTACCCTAGCCTAGTAGTAGTACTACTACTGCTACTTCTTCCCCGGTCGCGGCCGCCTGCCTGCCTGACATCGCTTCGCGTGCCAAAGCCGACGCGCGCAAAAGCAACCAAAAGCGAAAGCAAGACCACCGCCTGCTTGCTGCTCGGTCTCTCACTCTCACGGTCTCACCTCCTCCTCCTCCTCAAAGCCAGCCATTCGTCTCCTCGTCTCGTTTCGTTTCGCTTCATCTCGTCATCGATGCGCTCCCCTAGAATGAGAGAAACCTAGGACTAGTACTGCGTCACCATAGAAGGCGAATCACTACTCTGCCCCGGATCGACCACCCACGCCGCCGTGATTGGGAGAGGAGACGGACGCGCATGCCGCCGCAGCAGGGGGAGTGCTGCCGCCACGGCTGGCTCGGCGTGGGGGAGGCCGCGGTGGGCGGCGGCGGGGAGGAGCCGTTCTACGTGCCGCTGCGCAAGCGGCTGTCGGTGGACGGCAAGGCATCCACGGCGCCGCGGATATGCATCTGGGAGTGCGACGGCGAGGCCGGGGACATCACCTGCGACATCGTCGCCGCGCCGCTCCGCCGCAGCTGCAGCGCCAAGGCAATGCCGCCGCCGGCCCCGCTCTTCCGGATGATGACGCCGCCGCCGCCGAGGCCGCAGAGAGGGGACGGGGAGGAGGCCAGGAGGCCCGGGGAGGCCATCCGCAAGGGGCACCGGAGCTACAGCCTCATGCTCAACCTGCAGCTTGGCATAAGGTGATACCAATTGCTCCATCCCTTTCTGCTCCTCCTCCTAATTCCTCAAACACTCTGTCCCAATGTTTGGTTTGGTTTTGTTCTCCGTGCTGAGCTGCAGCTATTCGGTGGGGAAGTCGTCGGCGCTGCCGTTCCAGAAGCTCGCCGCGTCGGACTTCGACCCGCGGGAGAAGGTATGGACACGGTTCCCGCCGGAGGGGTCCAAGTTCACGCCGCCGCATCACTCGGTGGATTTCCGGTGGAAGGACTACTGCCCTGCCGTCTTCAGGTGCCACATTGCGTCCTAATCCATGAACTCGGAGAGGAATTCGTTGATTTCTTGGCTTCTAGAGTGATGTGATTGTTGGGCATACTGCTGCTGAGTGATGCCAGGCACCTGAGGAAGCTGTTCGGGGTGGACCCTGCGGAGTACATGCTCGCCATCTGCGGCAACGACACGCTCCGGGAGCTGGCGTCCCCGGGCAAGAGCGGGAGCTGCTTCTTCATCACGCAGGACGATCGGTTCATGATTAAAACCGTGAAAAAGTCCGAAGTGAAGGTCAGTTCATGTTCATCTTTGAGATAACTAGGCAGTTGTGGGCATCCTCCACCTTGTATTGTCGTGGACTTTTAACCGGCTTTGCCTTTAGCTTCCTTACTGGACTAGTCACGTTTTAATTGCATTCTTCAGTTAACTTTCTACTAGTTATGTACCTGGAAGCATCACATCATGGTCATTTCAAACTGCTTAAACGATCCTTTTCTATTTCATTTTGCAACAGATGTCTATTTCCTATACCAAGATGGTTAGAATTATTGCATATTTTATTATCCACCTAAAGGAGTTATTCCATAATATAAATTATAAATCCAGGTTAATACATTATCTAAAAAAATATGGGTCAATAATGTAAAGGGGCACATACTAGTATCACATGGTGAGTAGTGTTGTCTTACTCGTAAACATATTGGTCCACAGGTTCTTATCCGGATGTTGCGGAGTTACTACGAACATGTTCGTCAGTATAAGTCCACTTTACTAACAAGGTTTTATGGCACACATTGCATTAAGCAAGCTGGCTGCCCCAAGGTAAGCGACAATTACATGTGGATACATAACTCATTTTAACTCTGTTAACTGTTGTTATGTTTGAATGTACATTATTTCCTCCCTAAACTTATGTCAGCGTATACAACTAGGTCCGGTTCATTATAATGGGCAATTTTTGCTGTTCGGAATATAAGATCCATAGGCGTTTTGATCTGAAAGGTTCCTCACATGGTCGGACTATCGACAAAACAGAGCGCAAGATTGATGAAACCACTACTCTCAAGGACCTCGACCTTCAGTATGCATTTCGGTTGCAGAGATTTTGGTACGAGGAGCTTATGAAGTGAGTTTCCTGCTATGTTAACACAAATATATTGTCTGCAATTTCATTTGAATTGAGATACTAATTGTAGGTCTGATCCTTCATGTCACATAGGCAAATTCAGATGGACTGCACATTCTTGGAGACACAGGGCATTATGGACTATAGCCTATTGTTAGGAGTTCACTTTCGTAATGATTACTCAGTGTCTAAAATAGGCATATCTCAGCACATAGCTTTCCCAAGTAAGTTATAGCACGGGTTGCTGTTGGTGTTTACAAAATCTGGCTTATGAACCCAGCTGATAATTCACCAGCTTTGATCTAATCTTAGCTGCATCCCTGATCAGAATCTACTGGCAAAAGAAAATCATTTGAAGGTGGAAGCAGTTTTTGTGAGCTCTGCTTTGTGGAATCAGGTTGCAAAGACAGAGATTTGATAGACTCTCGGTAACTCCTCACTTCTTACTTTTCTTGTGACCGTTTGCGGTCTAATGTGTGCATTCCAGGAATAGTTGAAATACCTTTTAAGCTGTTCTGTAATAATCAATCCAAATCAGTTACAGCTTGGTAGATCACCTTAAACAGAACAATGTGACATCTATTGCCCTTTTCAGGTTCTAGTAATCCTTCACATATTGTCAAATATATTTTCAATATATTTTTAATTATTAAAAGCTACTCTGTTCTTCTGGTAACTTCTGACTGTAGCTCATTAGTTGTTTGTATGCATCTTGACAATTTTGTAGCATAAGTGGAGTTATTTAATCTGTCGTTGACAAGTAGTTCATGCTCCTACTTTAGTTTGGGACATAATGCTAATCTCCACCAGTGTAAGGTACTTTTTTTCTGTTGCATTTTTCTAAGGTAATTTTGTGTTTTCTCATCATGATACCTACTTTGTTGCTCCCTTCGTAGACAACAACGAAGAAGCATCATGGGGCCTTGCTTGTTTGTTTAAGTGAAATGTTTATATAAAGAGAGTGAATAATATATGGAACTTTAGTTATTGCATCTCATGATCTGAATATCAAATATAGAAACTTTTTATCCGTTGGGCTAATGCAACCTCTGCCTTCTCATATCAGGAAGCCATTCATCCAGTTGGGAATTAACATGCCTGCCCAGGCAGAGCGCAGCTCAAAAAAAATATTAGATAATTTTCTCCTAAATGAAAGACACTTGTTCATAACCCCACCAAGTGGAGGATCATGTGATGTCTACCTCTTCTTTGGGATAATCGACATTCTTCAGGACTATGATATAACGAAGAAATTGGAACATGCCTACAAGTCCTTCCAGGTCAACCCTGACTACATTTCTGCTGTAGACCCAAAGCTATACTCGAGAAGGTTTCAGGATTTCATCCGCAGGGTGTTCATAAAAGAGCAGTAAGAAAAAGTCATTGGGTTCAATGGTAACTATCCCACTGACTTCTTACATCATGAGATCCATTGGTGAAGTTTAGGCTATGATCGTATTGCCAATCCCGAGCATGCCTGAAACAGTGAAAACCGCAAATGATGGTTGGTTTTACCATACGCACAGTATTCTGAATAATTGGGGTCAACGAGCTCCGCCGACACGCATGCTAATATCGGATGGATGGGAGCTAAAACTATGTATAGCTCGGCCTTTTGGAAGACCTGTAAACCGTAAGTGTCGAACTCCATGATTGCAAAGCTAGTTAGTTCTTCCATACCACTTTTTTTCATTTCCTTTTTGTGTTCTTTCTTTGGCATCTCCCCAAGAATCTGAAGTTTTTATTTGCTTCTTGGGGTGCTGTGCTGAATAGCATGATCTTCCAATGGAGTGACCCGATGGAAATCAGCTATTTGTACATGTACATATTTGTCGTGTATCAGACAAATTATTACTATTTACAAACTGGTGCATCCTGTCAAAATCTAAAAAAGAACGAGGATGTCCATCTTGCCTTCGATAATATTTGCATCCTACCTTTTGCTTGCAGATGACAATTTCCTTGGCAGAGCTGTATGGCTGGGTTTTCAAGTAATGTCATGTTCATAGTTCAGAAAAGGAAAAGAAGTTGTTTGCTGTAGACATTGTTGCCTTCTTTGCAAGCATTTGCAGCTTATCTTTCGCTCGTGCCTGCCTGGTGTGACCACAGTCGAGAGAAGGCAGTGTCAATGTGTCACTTGTACAGTTGTAGTACTCCTCCACCATTGGCCTTGTGAACTGAAGGTAGAAATAAAGCGGAAGGGAGGCGACAGGCATCAAAAGGAGAGAAAGCAGGTGCAGGGAAGATGCTGGGACAGATCTGGTCTGCTCCTGTGACTTGTGTCTAAACATTTTTCTCTCCTGTCCTTCTCTCTGCATTACCTGGCCTTTTCTCGGCTCTACTTTGTTTCCCATGCCAAGGCCTCTAGTCCATTTCTCCTTCTCCATCCTGTGCTCTTTTTTTGCATGCTTTGCTTTGCTTTGCTTTGGCCTGGAGTCATGCATGACTGGTAGGAGCAGACCAGGTGAGAAGAAATTCAGAAATTACGGGGCTGAAGTGTGATGCATGCTGCTTTCACGCATGACTCATCAGATGCAGCAATGCATGACTGATCTGACTCTATTGTGGCTGTAAAATAGGATGGGTACTAATTGGGTAAATACTAAGGCTCTGTTTAGATCTAAAGTTTGGATCCAAACTTCACTCCTTTTCCATCACATTAATCTGTTATACACACACAACTTTTCAGTCACATCATCTCCAATTTCAACTAAAATCTAAACTTTGCGCTGAACTAAACACAGCCTAAGTGATTGTTTCTTTTTACAATTGCCATTACCTGTTGATGTGGAGTATATTTGGTGCATTCACGCCTGTGTTTCTTTGTATGGTATTTCCTGTCTCAGTGTTTGTTCTGTGGGGCTAACGGTTGATGGACCAGTGTTGATCGGCTCTGAGAGTCTCTGAGATGAGACTGTCGCCATGGTCAAAAAGAATTTAACTCGTATATCAAGGTTGGATCTCTCTTGCTCAGAAAAAAAGCATAATCTATCTTTAACCTTTATGACTGCGCATCTGCTGTTACTCTGGAGTTGAAAACAATTCACGGTTTGGGCAAGTGCTGTTAATATTTTTTTTCTTCAAAACCATAGAGCGTAATTCCTCCTTTTCACAATGTAAGACTTTCTAGCATTGCCCATATTCATATAGATATTAATGGATCTAGACTTTCTAGTATTGTCCACATTCATATAGATATTATGAAACGGAGGGAGTAGCTTTATAAACTAGTTACCAAATCTCTTTCTACAATGGATACATGAAGATGACGGATAAGTATGTGCAGAAAACTACTATCAGAATTTCATTGCTTTATCATATACTCCATCCGTTTCATATTATAAGACTTTCTAGCATTGCTCATATTTATTTAGAAGTTAATGAATCTAAATATATATATATATGCCTAGATTCATTAACATCTATATGAATAAAAAGTCTTACATTGTGAAACGGAGGAAGTAGGAGTATCTTAGAAACTATCTAGTGTCCAAGAATATCCTTTAAGATAACATGCTGATGTTTTTTTTAAGATAATGGATAATCCAGCCTTTTCACCACGTTAATGTGTCTAGATAGGTGTTTTTTTTTACAATTTATTGAATATTTTTAAATTCTCAAATATAGAAAGCCCTCCGAAAACTTATTTTCAAATTTAAACCTTTTACTCACAGCATCCTGCTTGGCATGACGGGATAACACTGTCATGCTATAAGCAATGGGCATGTCACTGTTCTCCTGTCATTCTAGTCTATCTGTCGTGACAAAACCCTCGCTACGTTGTTCTAATTGGCTTGGCAAAACCGTGGTCAAATTAGTTTGAGTTAGATTGAGATAGCTCACTCAACCGTACAGTTTTACAAATAAAGTTTGGGGCAATTGCAAATTTACCACTACTTTAAATCGTTATTGCAAAACTGCCACTAGAAAATTGCAAAAATACCATTAGAACTGTCATTCGAGTGGCATCCTTGCAATATTGAAAAAACCGGTGGCAAATTTGCAAATGCCCCATAAAGTTTTTGGAGGGGTTCACTGGTGGAGAAACCATCTTTGGTCGGTCGACCAAATTCCACAATAGTCCCGGATGCAATAAAAACCGGGACTAAAGATCATTTTTAGTCCCGGTTAAAAAAAATTTTATCTACCAACCGGGACTAAAGATCATTTTTAGTCCCGGTTCAAAGAAGTTGGTGGGTCGAGTCAGGCTCCAATTACAACCGGGACTAAAGATCTATTTTTAGTTCTGGTTGTTTATACAAACCGGGACAAAAATGAACTGCCGAGCCGCGCGCATGCCGCTACCCTCTCCTCGGTACCCGGTACCCCTCCCTTTTTTTCTCTCCTTCATTAAGACTCCCTCTCCTCTTCCATTGTTTCCTCGGTATCCCAGCCTCCTCTCCTTCATCTCCCCTTCCTCCCCCTTCCCCTCTCCTCCGATTCCCCTCCCCGCCTCCTCCGATTCTTCCCCTCTCTGCTGCGGGCCGGGCGGCGGCGACGGAGGTAGCCGGCCACACAGCAGGCGGCCGTGCGGCGGACGGGTGGCGGCGGCCGGTCGGGCGGCGGAGCGAGCTGGCCGCGCGACAGGTGGCCGTGCGGCGGACGGGGGGCGGCGGCCGTCCGGGAGCCGGTCGGGCGGCGACGGCCGTGCGGCGGTGGCGGAGCGAGGCGGCCGCGCGGCAGGCGGCCGTGCGGCGGCCGGTGGGGCCGCGCCCCTCGACAGCGGGCAGGCGGCCGGCGGGGCCGCAGGTGGCGACCGGTGGGGCTGCGCCCAGCAACGGCGGGCAGGGGGCCGACGGCAGCGGCAGCCCGTATTGTTTTTTTTAATTATTTGTGATTTCACTGATGTACTTTTGGATGGATAATTTTGTGATTCGTTGCACATTTGTATGGATCTGTGATGTATTTGATTTGTTTGTAATTTTTATAGGATTTGTGATGTATTTGATTTATGTGTATAAGTAACTTTGATTTGTGATGTAGATTTGAGATGTTACTTTGATTTCTGGATTGGGGGTTTGATTTGGGATATGTATCCCATTTGATTTGGGAGAAAATAAAAAAGAAAAAAAAAAAAAAGGGGACCATCTCACTGCCGCAACCCTCTCTTTAGTCCCGGTTGATAACACCAACCGGGACTAAAGATCCCCTCTCTTTAGTCCCGGTTGGTGTTACTAACCGGGACTAAAGATCGATTTTTAGTCCCGGGTATTTGAACCGGGACTAAAGATAGCGATCTTTAGTCCCGGATTGGTAGTCCCGGTTTGAAAACCAGGACTATAGGGGGTTGCGAACCGGGACTAAAAAGCACTTCTCCACCAGTGGTTATTTTTAAAAATTATTTTTAAAAAAGAGGTTTAGATTTATTTTAAAAAAACTGTAGGGTTAAGGGCTTCCTCACCCTTTTTTATCTTAGTGCTTGTCTTAGATTATGGGCCTTAGTCCAACCTATATTTTTAAAAATAATGTTTGTTAATTTCTTGGAATTTGGTTGTCTCAGGTTTACTAGACCTAACATGATCCAAGTTTGATGAAACGAATTGTACAACAAGCAATATCGTCTGAACTACTACGGGTGACAAGCGATCGTGGAAAAATAAATGAAGCAACAAAAAATTATTTATAGGTAAGAATTTTATATTTGTTTTCTTAATACAGAGGGGAACATCAGTAAAGGGAAAGAAAACCATAGCCTGAACTCAAATAGTCTTAGGCCCTATTTGGCACATCTCCAGTTCTAGCTCCACCTATTCTGTAGCTGGAGCCCAACCAAATAGTTTTAACTTCACCTTAAACGGGAGTAAAGCTGGGTGAGACGCTCTCACAAAAATGATCTATAGGAGCGGAGCTAGGGGTTAGGCTGCTCCACAACCACAACTACATTTTAGACTCAACTCTTTAAGCTAAATTTAGGAGTAAGCTAAATTTAGGAGTTGGAGTTATACCAAACAAGTCCTTACAATTACACCTCGTAACGACCCCACCTTACTTAGTAAGGACCGGTGACCTAGCGAGCAAATCACGGAGCGTAGAAGCTTAGCCAAACACCAAAGTGCAATTCACGGAGCAAATCACTTTTTATATTTTTGTTATTGGAGGTTTTGGAGGTTTAGAAACCAATATTGGAAAAATATAATGTGATGAAGAAGTCCAAAATTAACACTAAAAATTAAGTTTGTACCGTCTGAGCTTGATGCATCACGGCATGCTTTCCATGTGGATGACATCCGAAAGTTTTTTAACAGTCATAGGTCTTTGATGCGTGGAGAATCGTAATGTGTGGGACGCGCTGTCAATGATACCAAGGCATGCTAAACTAATATTTTGGTATAGATAGAACATTTTGGAAATCTTCTGCAACCAGTCATGTATAAGGGTTCCGTTATACTTACTCCCTCTTTCTCACAAACCAATCTCGTACAAAATGTCACACAAACCAATCTCGTACAAAATATAATATATTTTAGTATAACAAATCTACTCCAGAGAAGACATAAGGATGTCCGGTGTCCAAATTCATCGTACGAGAATGTATCCCATCTTATACGAGATTGATTTATTTTGTAACGGAGGGAGCAGAAATTATCAGTAGCATATAAGTATTGAAGAATGGACTATTGTTTTGTACTTTCGTATCACCACACTTACTCCGCAGGTTTAGAAATTCTCCCGTTAATAAATAAAACAAAACATAAACTGCAAAGATGATTTTGTTCAAAATACGATTGGAAACAAAAGTTAAAGTTGTATATGGAATCCAATTATATTTTAAAACTATTGTATAGAAATAGTACAATATATCTATGAAAATACTCCCTTTGTACTAATAAAGGAAGTCGTTTAGGATAATATTTAAGTCAAACCTTGGAAATATAAATCATGAATAACTCTTAAGTTGTTGAGTTTAAAAATATAAAAATTATATGTATAGATTTGTCTTGGAAAATACTTTCATAAAAGTATACATATAGCACTTTTCAATAAATATTTTTATAGAAATAAAAAGTCAAAGTTGTGTTTTGGAAATCGTGTCGTTGTTCTAAACGACTTCCTTTACAAGTATAGAGGGAGTATATGGTAAGAGCTGTGGACCATTTTAACTTTTAAATCTACAATATATAAGTTTTAAGTATATTTATAGAATCAAAACATAATAATAAAATTTGTATATCAAATTCAATTATGCTTTTACTTGGACAATCCGCTAGTTACTTTAAACACAGATGACGTGTTTGAGTCGGTTTTTAAGTTTATTCGCTTTTGGAAATACAAATCCGTGTTTGAGTCATGTTTTAAATTAATTTGCTTTTATAAATACATAAGAAGTCATATACAAAATTTTTAATTAAAAAATTTTTGCATACTAACTTGTTATGATCGAACTTCTAATTGTAGTTCATGATTTTATTAAAAAATATATATTCAAGCAAATTCTAATATTAAATTTTATCTTAACTAAACTATATAACAATAATAATATTAAAATAACCTTCATCTATTACAACACGTAAAGGAAAGAAATAAAAGGAAGAAAAATTTGACCCCAGCGCCCAAATCTCACCCGACCCGACCCAACTCTGGTCTTAACTCCGACGCCCGAACTCCTAAACCCACCCCGTGCCCCCGCCGTCGTCGCCGCCGCCGCCGCAGCAGCAGCCTTCCTCCAAATCCGCGCGCCTCCTCCGGCCATGGCCACAGCCAGCGACGGCAGCGGCAGCGGCGGCGAGCAGCGGCGCCTCCTCTCCATCCCCAAGGAGGGCGAGCGCATCATCGCGCCGACGCGCCGCCCCGACGGCACGCTCCGCAAGGCCATCCGCATCCGCGCCGGCTACGTCCCCCAGGAGGAGGTCGCCATCTACCAGTCCAAGGGCGCCCAGGTGAGTCCACGCCCCGCCCCGCCCCAATCATCCCCACACTTTGCTCTCCAACTGAAGACCGCCTCTCATGGTGCCTGCTTTGTTGCAGATGAGGAAGTCGGGGCCCGACGTGCCGCCGGGCTACGACCCGGCGCTCGATGCTAAGCCCAAGACGAAGGCGGCCAAGCGGAACGAGCGGCGTAAGGAGAAACGGCAGCAGGTAGGGCCGTCCTCTCTCTCTCCCTCTCTCTCGGTGTTTGTGTTTGGGAAATCGTCTGATTTAGTGGCCTGTTTGTACATTGGATTACTGTATGAGCTTATTATTCGGATGACACACATAATTGGATTGGGCATGCTAGGGTGAAAAGCATAAACCGTTTCATTGTTGTTAGTTAGTTCATTAGTTTGTTGTAGGTATGAGAGATTACCCTAAACAATGCTATCATCAATTGGGTGAAAGATTACCTTAAATTAGACCTTGGCTGTAAAAATAAGGAGGAGCAATATCTCAGGCCAGAGGGATAATACAGAAGAAGTGCTACCATCAATTTTATCATTCTGAACTGTCTAACCAGCAATCACAATACTTTTATTGGGGTACTTCTGTTGATACTCACAGTTGGGGTAAATGTAGCGCATTTCTGCTCTCCACAATTACATTGACTAAGTAGGGTCTTAATTGGTCTACTGACACATCTTAATGCCAACAGCCCAACGATACCTGTAGCATGTTCCAAGTTATTGCTGAATTTACGCAATTAACCAATTTCTGAAATGTATACAAGTCACTGGTACAGTCAGATTTCTGGCCAGTCAGGTGCATAAAAACTTGCTATGAGATGAGAAGAGACATCTTATGAGAAAAATTTTTGTATGCTTCAGAATTTCCATAGAATACAAAACCAGCAGAACAGAGTCAGAAAAGGATTTTTTTTAGCCATCTCATATTTGAACTAAAATGCGGTCATGCCTGTCATCTCAATCAATAATCATGATAATCTGGCACCGACACCTAAACTTGGAAGAATTGTCAATAGTTGCATTATTGTACCTGTGTATTCACTTTTTTTTTATACTCAAGCTCATGTTGGTTCACAACTTCAGACATTAGAAGCCCTGGGGGCAGCTCTAGTAGTATGTTCAGTGATCCTTGACTGTTGTTACTACAGTACCAATTTGTTTCCTCACTGTTTCTCACCATCATCATGATTGCATTTCTTTCTTGGTTAGTAATGATCTGGAGGAAAACATGGGGATCTACCAAATGAATAATATGTTCCACTCCTTTCGTCCATGGAATGTAACTGTGTTCAACTTCAATTCCTGATCGCATGTTATGTTCTAACTTTGTTGTCTGCACAATGGGTTATCTTGGTAGGTTTTATTTGGCCAAGTCGTCTCATGAACCCATTCAACCACAATGACACAATTAGAAAACGGGTCGATATAGGAAGCCTCTACTTGACTATTAAGCATGAATGAACATAAATGCCATGGTAAAGGCCAGTTTTTTTGTGTTATAGCATTAGCTCTTAGGTGCGTTGATATGAATTTGTACATAAGTTTTAAAGAGTCAGCACAATCAGCTATTCATGGCAGGCATAATTATGGACAATAAGAGAACAAGGTTCTTCATAAATCCTCTATCTGATAATTGGGTCAACAGAACAGTGTTTGTTTATTGTTTGCCTCATGGGTGATGATTTTATCTCTTGTAGATTGAGCTACTGGTTTATTAGAGTTGCTTTATGATGTTGTGCTGGGCATTCTCTTATTTCTTAGCAGGCCAGTACAACAAATGATAAAGGAAAGGGCTTGCATATAGAGGATGATGCAGGAGAAACTGACAATCCGAAGGATGCAGTGGACAGTGTAACAAAGCAGATAAGTGGCATTGCTATTTCTGAATCTCTGGTTGTCGCAACCTCCTCCACTGATGCTACCGACAACTCAAAATCGGAGTCATCTGCTCCAGACATAGATAAGAAAATTCGAGCACTGAAGAAGAAGGTTGTCTTCCTCTCTCCCTCCCTCCCTCACTCTCTCTCCAGTTCATAGTTTTTCTGGGGGACCTGAGCCTGGTAGGTTATCCCGAAGTTCCCAAGTAATTTTTGTCTGGTTTCTGGCATAAGGCTTCCAAAATTTCAAGCCATTTTTCATTTTCTGCATAGTACTCAATAATTAAGTTGTATGCCTGGAAACTAAGTTACACAATCAATCTTAATTAGTTATTACTTGGTCTAACTTAAGATAAGCACTTGTACTCAATTTTATCCTACATTGTAATTTTATAAGCACTTGTAATCAGTTTTTCTTCTTGTAAGTTTAACTTATTCATGGTAACTGCCAAGAATCTAATGTAGTAGTAACCAATCATTGATTTTATGTTCTTAGGACATCTCAGGTATTCAGTCCATGCTTTCAACCTCTAGGAGCAGGCGAGCAGCCATAGTATATGTTAACAGTGCTATTTTGATCTGCCACCATGGGACTAAATTAGATCTGACCTGGATAAATTTGTCTTGATTTATCACAGATACGCTTAGCAGAAGCGCAAGTGCAAGGAGATCCAGAAAATTTGAAGCCTGAACAACTCGAGAAAATGAAGAAGATAGAAGGTTGGAAAGAGGAGCTGAAGCTTTTGGAGAATAAGAGCTCTCCTGCTGCTTCCTAGACAATGTCGACCTCAGCACTGATGTTGAGTAGAGCCATCATATATCGAATGCCTGCCTGCTGTGATGTTTTGCTGATCCAAAGTCCAATCAGTCATTGTCTTGCTTGTCTTATTCCCCTCGGCCTCTGGAAAAAGCAATCCAATTGATGTGGGGTTTCACACAGAGTGGTAGCTTTTTGCCACAAATTGTTGTCTCGTGTACGTCCTCCAGTTCGAAGATTCGTATTGCAAAATCTGTTTGTCGTAGACATCGTGCAATGAGACAACCGATTGGAGTTGGGGTATGTGACGGTGCCATTGTAGCTTTGTATATTATGCCAACATTGGCAATTCCTCTTGACACTGGATTTACTTCTCTGCTGATCCAGTAATAACCGTACAAATTTAAAGGCCACAGGCCTCATTGCATCGACAAAGATGACAGGCGAGTCCAATATCCTGATCCATCTTTGAACATTCAGCTTATATGGTCATCGTGGTTTTCTTCTGGTCATCGTGGTTTGCAAAGCAATAGGAAACTGGCTTGTTTTGGGTTATATAGCTAGTATGGCAAGTCTGCCTGTTTGGTTCTTTGTACTTCTGATGAAAAGCTTAAGTTGGAAATGCATTTTATGCTGTGATTGATTTCGTATTCTGGACTAAATATTCACCTATGGGCATTGTGCAACGAAACAAAATTTTATTCCATGCCTTTTTTAGCGAAAAAATATCACTCCATTGATGTTCCTTTTCTCCTTTTATTCGTTGTTTTTTTCTTGGAAATATCTGCTCATGTGATAGTTAAGAGGCAACACTTCACGACAGATGTTCAAGAAACATGAACTACCGTTTTAAGGGTTGAATAGTAAAAGCCGTTCCGCTTTATACTAAGAGCACCCGCAATGGTAAAGTAAGGTGCTATCTATAAAATATATACATCTCAACAATAGGCTAGATTAATAGTAAACAACTTCAATGGTATGTCTACATGGGTATCTATAGCTTTCTAATCCATTGCCTCGTTTTTCTCTATAGACTATCTCAAAATTAGTAGATAGCTTTGCTCTCTCTCTTCATTTAATCTCTTCCAAGTAGAAAAATATGCTGACATGGATCTTTTGTAGAGAGCCTACAGATAACCATTGTGGGTGCCCTAATCAAGCGATGGAAACGAATGACGTAGTCACCTTGATTTCCAAACAACGGAAGCATAAGGGCACCTGCAATGGTTATCTATAGACTCTCTACAAGAGATCCATGTCAGCATATTTTCCTACTTGGAAGAGATTAAATGAAGAGAGAGAGCAAAGCTATCTATTAACCTGGAGATAGTCTATAGAGAAAAACGAGGCAATGCATTAGAGAGCTATAGATACCCATGTAGACATACTATTGAGGTGGTTTACTATTAATCTAGTCTATTGCTAAGTTGTGGGTGCTCTAATCAACTTATTATGAGAGCAACTTATTTTACCATTGTGGATGCTCTAATCAAGAGAGGAAAACAAACGGCATAGACAGAGACATGTAAATATTTTTTTCCCACTATTTTTTTTGTGAATTATTTTCTGTCCCTCTTCTTTTGTGAATTACACGCAAGTCAAACAACGCGTAAAAACTGAGAAGTGATCGTCAAGACGCCAAATGCCAATCGCGACGTGGCTGTAAACGCCAAACTGCCAACTGGAGAACAACAACCAACCAATCGTAGCTTTTCCTTTGGAATACCCGTACCACTGCATAGGAATCGTTGATGAGCTGCCGTACACCCTTTGTTCTAACAAGAAGACATGCACGGCAATTCCAACCTAAGCTACTGTCATCGGAAGTTCCAAAGTTTGGCAAAGCACGGCATATGATGGCAAAGACAAATAAATCACCACCACGAACATGCATATTTACATCGTCAGTTCCTACTTACACTCATGCGCTTGAATGCACATTTAACCTATTCTCCGGGCTGAATATTAGCCGCTGACTAAACCACGACATATCCCCTCGCAGCAAACTATGAGAAAGAATCAACAAATGAAACGCAATGGTTGGGGTTGACGACTGTGCTGTTGACAATATTGCTTCCCGGTAACGAATCGTCCTCCCCGGCCAGCTCCACATGATTAGCAGAACTAATATCTGCAAGAGAGAATATGCACGCCAGTCAAAAGTCAGATTAACCACGCGCTCAATGTCAACCTAGTGCGCCACAACCGGGCAGCTGACGGTAACAACTTTGTATTATATTTGATATGGACGAATCTGTGTTCCGGCGATGATGTGTGAAAATCGTTTGCCCAACTTTTCTTACGAAGCAAAACAATTGTGTAGGAACAGTTTAAATATTTACTATTTTTGCATGAGTGGAAAGCAAGTTAAAGAAGACTAACTTACCATTCCACCGATATTCTGAAGCCGTCCTCAATTCTATCCATTTATGCCGCGTACCGATGAATTTGAGCGCGAAGATGTCCTCATAGACCTTATCGACCGCATTGACCTATTAACGAAAGGATGCTCCAGCAGCTTTGCTGCAGAGGGTCTGTCTTGCGGATTGGGTTTTACGCACTGGCTTATAAAATCACGAGCATCCCTAGAAAGGCAATTTGGAATTGCTGGTGGTTCCCCCTTCCCAATCCTGTATAAAGCTTGTGTCTGCAGAACAAGTTGAGAAAATGGGGTAAATGCAAAAAGGAAACAAAGTAATATGCATACTGGATAATTATCAAACTTGGAACCAACACCATAACTGAATTTGGAGGAGCTAAATTAGATTCCTGATGAACAATAACTCACCCATTCCAGACCAGGATAGGGAAGTTGACGTGTCAACATCTCTAGGACTGTGCAGCCCAGACTCCATATATCAGCTTCAGGTCCATATGTTGTCTTGGGATTGACAACCTGAAATTTCATCATTATCTTAGGAGGCAACTACAACATTATCTAACATCAATGCATTATAAACACATTTTTGGCTTTTTACCTCCTACCTATTAGTTTGTTATTCTAGATAAACCATCAAAATAAAAGAAGGTAAACAAATACTACCTCTGTTTCAAGTTATAAGATTTTCTAGTATTGCCTACATTCATATATATGTTAATGAATCTAGATATATATGTGTGCCTAGATTCATTAACATCTATATGAATGTGGGCAATGCTAGAAAATCTTATAATATGAAACGGAGGAAGTAAAACCCAAGCATGTCCAAATCTAATCTAATAGAAATATTGTGCCATACCTCAGGTGCCATCCAATAAACAGTTCCTTTGCACGATTTAAGCACGTTGAATTTGGTAATCTGAGAGATTTGACAGAAATCAATCATATAAATGAGATAAATTTTAAAATAATAACTGAAACATTCAAAGATTAAAAAGGAACATAAAGATTTCGCGAGAGTAAGCAGACCTCCTTAGCAAGACCAAAGTCAGCAAGTTTCACGGATCCATTGGCATGCACCAATATATTGGCACATTTGATATCCCTGCAAGACGAGATTTGAACTGTTATTCACTTATTCAGAATAAATGTACAGTACCAGTTCCTTAAGAATCTTCAAGCTAACGATAAAAATCAGTGAGCAGGCATTAATTAGAATAACTGTCAGCTGAAGTGAAAAAAAAAAACAATAAGCCTCCTTAGAAGGCTAAACAGCAGATATGCTGATTCAACTAATGTTATTACCTATGAACAATGTTTCGCTCATGCAGGTAAGTCAACCCATTAAGAATCTGTCTTGTATATGCTGAAACATGAGTATCTCGCAGTCTGTACTTCTGATACAAAGATGCAAGAGATCCTTGGGTGACTAATTCAAGGAAGATGTACAGTTTTGAGTCCTCCTGCAGTAGTCACAAGAATGGTTCAATATGAGCCTTAAAAGAAAAAAAGTACAAGAAAACTAGAAATTTACATACAGCCCAATAGCAAATGGTGCTTCAACAAAATGATGAATGGTCGATCAATAACTTACTTTGTCGGTACCATAGTACTGCACAATATTTTCATGTTCAAACTGACTCAAAAGTGCGATTTCCTAAAATATGAAAAGAAGTTAGGACAGATCACATTTACAATACAACAGAACCAGTAAGATATTATAGCCCTGGGCCCTGGCATTATTGACAAACAAAAAGGAAACACCAACCTGCTCAAGCTGAAAAATGCACTGCTGTGCATTGCTCCCTTGATCACACAAGCAGACCTCTTTGACAGCAAAGAAGACACCTTCGCTGTAAAACATCAAATCATAAGATGTCGATATCAACTATTCCGGCATGTAAGAGACATGTGTTATGCAAACATTACAGCAGCCTATACTAAGAATAACTGTTGCAATTGAACACCACATAAAAGGAACAACAGGTATTACAATGATTCATTTAGGACAGCCAGTTCATGTGCATCTTCTAGAAGCTAAGTTTCACATGTTTCAGAACCCTTAGTGATTAAACATATGTTTACATCATGTCATATTGAACACAACAAATCAAATAAATAAAGTACTATTACATTCAACATTCTGACTCTAGCGGAATTCTGATTGTCTACAGCGTAGGGTTATGCTATTCAAGTAGTTGAAAATGAAATCATGTTGATGATTCAATTACCACTTACTAGTACCCTACACGCCATCTAGCAACTGTACTTAAAGAGATATAATTGGAGACATACAGTGTACAATCAATCAGAGAATCAATTTTCCTAAATTCGGGTTAACAATGGCTTCCAAGATATGCCTTATGCTATCTTAGGGCAGGTTAAATTGTTGGGTCTCACAAATTCTCGACCACAAAGTGAACAATCAGCATATAGAAATCATAAGCACAAAGTGAACAATCAACATATAGAAATCATAAGCACAAAGTGAGCGATCAGCATATAGAAATCATAAAATTTACTCTTTAGAGCACTTACTCGCTGATCCCCTCGAAGACTGTCCCAAACGAGCCACTTCCCAGGAGCATCCCCCGGTTCCACGACCGGATCTTCCTCCTAAACCTCCCATTCGGCGAGATGTAGAACATGGACTCGGTGGTTGTGCTCGACGTCTCGTCATCGTTCGTCGTCGACAGCGAAGACGTGCCCGTGAATTCCTCGGACGTCTCCCCTAGCCTGAGCTCCTCCAGCGTCAACACCGCGGCCGCATCATCCTCCTCCTCACCCGCGTCCTGGCATGCGGAATCACCACCAGATCTGCTCGCCGGGGCGTGAGCATGGCTATCCTCCTCCGGCGCGAACGACCGCAAGATATCCCACGTGGACTCCACCACGCAGACCGCCGGCCGTACCATCGACGGCGGCGGCTTGAGCACGACCGGCGGCGGCCGCACGCCCTTGATCCCTCCCTCGCCGCTCGCCTTCCTCACATCTGGACGGGCTGGCTCCCACGGATCCACCCGTAATAGGGGCGCTGGAGCTTCAATTGCCACGGACCTGGGCGTTTCCTTCGCCGGGAGCACGGGAGCAGCGGCGGGGGCGGGCAGGGAGGGCGGCTCCTCCTCGGCGGCAACCTCGCGGCGGACAGGAGAGTCCCTCGCGGGGGGTTCCTCGCGCGGCTTGGGGGTGGAGGCGGAGGAGGAGAAGGAGGAGCGGCCGGCCTTGTGCGCCTCCCAGTCAGCGACGGGGACGGCGAAGTCGTCGACGCCGGAGAGGCCGAGGCTGGAGCAGAGCAGCTGCACGTCCCTGCACCCGTCGCCGCTCCCGCCGATCCGGAAGCTCGTGAGGTCGAGGGAGCACGCCGGGGAGCAGGCGAGCGACGGCGACCCGGACGCAGGCGCGGACGCGGCGGGCGGGGACTGCGGGTAGGCGCAGAAGTTCGAGGCGTCGTATCCGATGTGCTTCGCGGCGTTCCGGCGTTCGAGCCGGCGGCGCCGCCTCGACGAGCCCCCAGACGACGACGACGGCGACGGCGGCGCGGCGGGCGGCCCCATCGTCGGCCTCAGCTCATGGACGAGAGAGAGAGGGGAAGGATGGTTCGTGATAAGTGCCAAGCGAGCGAGACTCCTCTTGGCTTGGCTTTGGGTTTGGGGGAGAAGAGGAGAGAAGAGAAGGGAAGACGGCAAGCTGCAGATTTTTATTTTTTTTCTCCGTTTCGCCCACTAGCTTTGGCGCTGAGGTTTTGCGAGTATTTTTTGGGTGGGTGGGGGGCGGAGAGGGGGAGATCGGATGGCGCTGTCGCATTGACCCGCATCTTTTCTGGTGCGCGCGCGCGCTCGCAACCGCGGACAGATCGGCCCCACGCGCGAGCTTGGCGCGGCACCGCAGCCGCGGCTTTTTGCGCTTTTCGTGCGTTTTTTCTTGGGTCCGGGCGGCCCGGAATGGCTGCGGTGTTGGCGTGCGCTCTTCTTCTACTCTATCCCTGGATCCTATAAAAAAAATTAACTTAAGCGTCAGATGTGACATCTTCTAAGAGCATGTATAATAGCAGATTATTAGTCAGCTATAAACATATTTTAATAAGATAAAAGATGAGAGAGAAGAGCAGCGGGTTATATATCTGTAGCCAGCTGCAACACGGACTCCAAGACGCAATGTATGTATGACAGGTGGGACCATATATTAATAGTGGGCTATACTATTAAACTTGCTCTAATAACGAATCTGAACATATATTTATCTAGATTCACTCTCCTAGGATACGTGACATCTAATCCTAGATTATTATTTTTTTGGACGGAGGGAGTACTCTCTACTATAGTGAGTTTGAGCTGGAACAGTCCGGTCGTCGGGGACTCGGGGTGTTTGGGCACGTGCCTGCGTGTTCTTGCCAAAGTGAAACAACCCAATGGTATTTCATTACGTGTTAGCGTATGAGCGTAGTTAGTCGTATACATGCGGGGCAGATATGCACATAGCGGACGATTTTTCACCTTGAAATTGCAGACGCTTTATGCTTTAACACCGAGTTTCGGTTCTGCCAAATTTACTGGATCCGGATCCTCTGCATTTTGAAATGCTAAAGCAAGGTTCCACGGTGTTTTATAGTAGTACTTGGGCAGTAAGATGAAAAATCAAATCAATATAGGTCGTGTTTAGTTCCAAAATAATTCTTCAAACTTTCAACTTTTCCATCAGATCACAATTTTCCTACACACATAAACTTCCAAATTTTTCGTCACATTGTTCCAATTTCAACTAAAATTTCAATTTTGGTGTGAACTAAACACAACCATAGTATTGTAGCATCAATATTTTACCTTACGGCTTGTTCTGCCACATTCACAGTGTGGATGTTGATCGTATGCCTAGGATTATGAAATTGAGGGTGCAGATTTGTTATAATGTAATTTACTGTAGCACCTATGCATTTTATACTCTGATGCAGAGGATCCTGATCCGAAATCAAGCGTGTGAAAAGCTGCTTAAACACTCAAACAACTGGCGACGAGTCAACGTAAATGCCCCCTTGTCCTTTTTTGCTCCAAACCATAGACTGAAAACTACCACGTGCACTGTACCCACAAGCTCTCCTGACCAAGATCATCGAGTAGTACTACCTACGTACATCATCCAGCCATAATTCATGTTTAATGGCGAGAGATATTGATGTGCTTAAGTTTTGTGGTCGGCATTAGCCCGACACGAGACCCGGCGACGAGTCTGACTGCAAGATTGCCGTAAGAGTCGTCGCTGCCCCGAGCCACAGCAAGCGTGCCGTGCTGACGGGGAAATCCTGTGCAGCTCAAATCAATCCTCCAATGGCAAGAGAGCAGTACACAGTTTTGGTGCTGTTGGAGTCTTGCAGAAGCCACACGTACGTGCATACGGTAGCCTAGCCGGTGCGGTAGAAATATATAATTACCCATTTACTCTTAAGCCCACTTGGCTTTTTTACCCTCCGGAAAACGTTAACATTATGGAGTATCTCAAATCGCAGTTCAGCACGGCAAAGATGGTGATGAACGGTCGATGGTTTGGTCAGGAGCAGGGCGCTGTATTTATTCGAATTCGCTGCAAAAACACGCAGTACCATTACCTTACAAGAAACCTCGATACGAATTGCGTGCGAATATGCAGAGAGAAACGCAACCAAGGCATGCGTACCCACTTCTTTAAAAAAACAGAGAAACAAAATGGATTGTAACAAAAGGCAGGAAGACCAATACGGAATACTATTATTTTCCGAGTGGGAAGTGGGAAACAACGTAAAAGCTGGGACACACGCTACCGAACGAAGCGCACACGGAAGCACCGTCGAAGCGAGCCGAGCGCAAAGCTGAAAAAGCTCATCACCAAGCGGCACGAAGCCAATACGGGACGAAACAAGGAAAAACGCTGGAAAATTGTGACAGCCGAGAGCCGGAAAGGGATATGCCCCGCGTCGGGTCGCGCGCAATATGGCAGGAGGACGTAGGTAGGGCGATGTGATTGTGGTGTGCCGGCCAGCTCGGCAAAAGAAGCGGAAGGCTCCCCGCGTCAGACTCTCTGTCTTTATATACTCCCTCCATATGAAAATAACTACTCCTAGGAGCAGGTACAATAGCAAACTATTAGCCAGCTATAAATATATTTTAATAAGATAAATGATGAGAGATAAAAGCAGCAGGCTTGTAGCCAGCCGCAGCATGGACTCCAATACACAATGTGTGTATAACAGGTGAGACCATATATTAATAGTATAATAAAAAAAATTGTATGAATTAGCTATTAGATTGGCTATAGATGAATTGGAGCTAGTAGTGAGCTATACTTTTAAACTTGCTCTAAGTTGATCAATCTAAGATATGTCACATCCTAAGTTGAGTTATTTTGGAACGGAGAGAGTATGTAACTTGGACTGAAACTTTCAACGATACGTAATAGAAAAAAAAGAGGCATTACGATATAATTAAATAAATATCAATTTTTATAACTTAAAAAATAGATTTATTTAATTAAAAAAACTTATATATAACTTTTTTAAAATACTATTTAGTACGTAGTATGACAAAAGGATAGCAGCTTAAAAAAAGGTAAGTAGGAGACATCCTTATATTAGGGGGTGTGTTTGATTCTCAACCATATTTTGCATGTGACTGTTAAATATGTGTTTGGTTTTTTTAATAACTTAAACAACTTTATTATGCAATACAGGGTTTAGTACATCGCAAAAGGATACAAAGTATACGTGTTTGGTCCACTGTTATCATTATGACAGCATATTTTTTCAATACATGTTCCATGTATCGTAGATTAAGTCTTTTATCAATTTTATCATACTTTATAGCCAATAATAATTTATTCGTCACACTTTTGTTACTCTCACCATTTACGTAACCTTAATTATGGTAAAGTGGGATCGGAAAAAAAAAACACCCTACGTCGCCCTCTCGATGGAAAGAAAGGGAGCGAGACCGAGACGAGCAGTAGCAGTAGTGCCTGGAGCGGTGCGGAAGTGTAGCTGTCACGACGAGACGGTGCTCCACGTAGGTAAGTGTCCTCGCTGTAAGAGGGTGGGTTCCAGCTAAGCGCGACGTTTTTACGCGGCTTGAGTATTTGGGGTTTTCTTTCTTGTAGCGAGACTCAGCGAGGAGATCAGAGGAGAGAATATAATGCGTGCCAAAGACCGGACGAATCGTACGCATTGACTCGAGTCCACGGCTGACTCGTCAAGACGGCGAGCAGCCTGAGCCACTAGACTCGTCCTTCTCGGTGTCTGTCTATCCATCCGTCTGCAATTTGTGCTCTGGTAATGTCTGGCTATTATTAAGAAAGGATCATAAGTGTGGTTGCTGCAACATTTTTATGTAAACAATGGACGTTTCATGTGAAGTTTGTGCAGGGTTAACATGAAAGAACTGAGCTTTATTGGTTGGGATAAGAACGTATTGCTCTTCTTCACATGGCAACCCAGCAGAGCAAACATAATTGGTCGGGACTGTTCTAATCAATTCCAACAAACATCAAATATTTGTTCTGCGATTCAGTTTAATAGGTAGATCTCAACTACACACAACAACCGGTTCCTTTTTTTTTTGTTCCAAATATAGTTCAATCCCATAAAAATATGTCGAAATCCGCATATTCCAAACAGGCTGTGCATGAGAAGACTAGAGTTGCAGGTGGAATGCAAAAATATAAGACGTAAACAAAGATAATTTTATACGACAATTGGAGATAATTTGCTCTCAAGTTTCAAGTTCACCCGGGTGCGCTTTCTCTTTGGATGGAGATGTATGTGTACATCAGCTGGGAAGGTCACATGGTATAATTAGGACAACAACATGCATTTACATTATACAACTGAATACACTGGAATCGTCAGCTCCGCCCACTATGGACCAGACTTCACCACTTGGCTACGGGTCATGAATTGTGAATATAAGAATGAGCCATCTCAGGCAGCTCATTATCCTATCGCCTCTAATCAAGCTGGCAAAAAAATGTTGCCGCTTACATCAACCAGTTTATTAACTTATATACTCCTAGGAAATCGCTTGCTCTATAATCGTCTCGCTCTCCCGTCTGTCGCTGAAAGTGCTGCACTGTGCTAATAATCCAATATCTTCAGCAGACAGTGAAAGTGCACCAGAACTCAAGTAATGCCTCGGCTGACGACACCTATCACAAAGACAAAGAGCAGAAGCAGCAACCATGAGCCAGTGAAAAAGTGCTTCAATGTAAAAATGTTTGTTAATAGATTCCTAAAAATTGAATCGTGATAACACAAATAGCACATAATATTGTGAAAACAGTATCATTAGGGATAACAAAGTATATGAGAAATGGAAGCAAGTTAGTAAAATGGAATTGGTGCTACAATAGTTACAGCTAACATAGTAACAAATTCCAATTGGTACAGAAAATAGGGAATAAGGAACCATATTTGCAGGTTGAAGCACACATACTTCTTGAAAACTAGAAGCATGAGACACATATAACAAATTCTGAATAGTCGACTTCTTTTGTCTTAAATATCAAGGTCCTAAGATCTCGATATAGTGCTACTCTTAGAATTTCTATTCAATTGAACCATGTATAAATTACACACTTTCAGAGTAGAAGTTTAATTTATTCAGTTAAAGTTTTGAACCATACAACAATAACGGAAGTTTGAAACTTTTTTTTTATCAAAAGTAGGAAATTTTGTAAGGCGCAAATATGGAATTCTACAGAATGAGACATGGGCATATGGCTCAGCAATAGCAACAAGTTTCAAAAGGGAGCATATTGGTTCATATGTACAGCATCATACTTGTATTTACATAAAAAGTACACTTTTTGAACTGAGACAGTGATTACCTTCTTTGCTTGCTTGAGGCTTTACATTCAGAGAGTTGCATATTTTCCAACTGTGAAATCTGACTCATCGAAGACAAATAATCAACAAAAGCAGGACCTCTCAGTGACTGAGATAGCTTAGGAGGAACTACCGGAAGCAGGACTTCACGAAGACGAGCTTGTCGCTCCCTGAACAAAGAATGACAACAATTAATCAAGAGAAAGTTAAGTCTCAACTGCCAATAGAAAAATCCACATTGAGTCATATATGATCAGAGGTTCGATATCAGGGAAGGGTTGCCACCAACATTGAGGGAGTGCTATACGAGAATAATCAAACTGTCAAAGTTTGCACTTAGCAGGCTCAGTGCCCCCAAGACGAATCTTCCATTAGCGTGTCCATACAACAAAAAAAAAGATTTAACTAGTCTGGGAAAAGGTTCATGTAGCCATAAAATATTTTAGTCAGTGAAATTTACAAGGTAACAACTAAAATTCTTATGAAGTCCAATTTTTAAGGAAATTGCAAATATGCAACCATTTTTTCAACTTGCAGTAGATTAATAAGGGAACAAGATGACAATGCTTATGATTATAGAGCAAAAACACAATCTTTGTGTGAACCTACAGGTGCCCTGAGCACATCATATCAATTGGTGCATAACAGCGAAATACGTAATCAAATAACAGTGTTGGCCAGCCTACCAATAAATGCATATGCCAGCCACTAAAATCTCATTTGCATTTCCAAATAAAGTGTATGTCATTTATGCTCTGATAGAAAACTCTACAAGTATGAAAGATCACACCAATAGAAATCTCATTTTGCCGATGCATGCGCCTTGTGAACATGTGACCCTATATTGAAGCAAGCTGCAGAAATTACTGTGACCAATAAAATAATCCACTCTACTCATACTCCTGGTTGATGCGATAAATCAAGCATAGCTAAGGGATCAACATGGAGCTCCAACTATAAGGAAGATAGTCCATCATGTGTATATATATTTTTTGAGCTCGTCATATGATATCAGTCATAAGCAATAAAATGCACCGCAAACACACTGTAATGCTTACCTTCTCTTAGAAATACAACTTGTTGGGTATTTTACATGGGAAATGTTCCCAGATCCATCACCACAGCTGATTCCAGAGCTAACAAATTTACCCAAAGATGTGGTAGTTGTACCGCTAAATAACAACTCTTGTAAAAAATCAACAAAACCATCATCTGTAGCTTGGGAATCCTGTAGAAAAATGCAAAGACCATGCTGAGCATAGATAGATCCCATCTCAAGCTGCTTGCTGTACGAGAAGCCATCAGACTCAGTGTAAGGAGTCAAAGATGGATCTGAAATATCCTGCACAAAATTATAAATACTTCAATACCATATTACAGAAACATGAATCTCAAAAGAGACAAAAATACACTGACATTACTAAAAGGGTGGCAGCTAATGAGCATAAGATCTGATTCTGATATTAAATCAGACACTCTTGAAACACGCTTCAAAGCTCCAGAAACTGATCTGTTGTGATTCATGTCACATGGAAGTACAGGATGGCACTGCCGTAGCCTGTTCCAAGTATCTTGTACATGTTCGACCTTGCAGGAGTCATTGTTTTTTTTCCCTGAAAGCAACCAAACACTTTCAGCACGACTGCATTCATCCATCAATTGATATCCTGTAATTGAACAGCTTGCATGATCATTCCTGTCAGCCAATTCCACATAAGCCTCACAAGTCTCACCAACTTCATCTTCCATGCATTTTTGAGGTTTATCAGTCATTTGATTCTCCACCTTGTTAGTGTCTTCTAGTGCCACTACAGATGCAGTGTAAGTACTCTCATTACGAAGGGCAGACAAACCATTGGACACTAGACTTGATAAAAGATCATCACTGCTGATTGATGCAGATGTCCCCCCAACCATGAACGATGACTCAGGCACACATGAAATGCCCTGAGACATAAAGGTATCACATATTTGTGAAATGGACCCGGGCATGTTGCTTTCAAGCTGGTTTTGGAAAGAACTGGCAGGTTCAAAGGCCCTTGATTCGCTAGGAAAGCATAATTGATTTGAAATCACTTCCCTATGTAAATGAGGCACAGATGATTGTTGGAAGAAAACACTTTCTGGAACAATGTTGGAAATCCCATGGCCATATAAACAGGGCAGCTCTGAAGATTGTGGGAGCAATCTACCTTCTTGAACAGTAAATGTGGCATCTTTGGCAGCATGTGCATCAGCTAGATCATCATCAGACTCAGCAAACAAAACTACTCCACGCCTATTTCTCATTCTTTGATGATTGGATGGAAGAGGGATATCTGGACTATCATGGAAATCGTCAAGGTCATTCTTACAAGGTGAAGCATCATTACAATCAGCAGAGCGGCCATGCTTTAACTTGGATTTCTTAGGTTTTCTTGTTTTACCAGCACTTCTTCCCTTGGTCAAAGGTGTCATTATTTGTAATTCGAGGCCTTCAAATTCTGATACTTCCATCTGTTTTTTCTTTTGTTCAGCTGTCACGATTGTTTTGTCTATTTCCATGTATATTGTTTCTGATAATTTACATGGGAAGTCCCAAGGCATTATTCTTGGTACAGTAGAATGTACTGCATCCAAATCAAGTAGAGAAGGGCAGGACAGGCACTTATTCAACCTCCCTGAAAGCAAAACACAAAATTAGTGTACCAAAATTGATGTGCTCATCATTTCAAGACTGAACACAACATTGCAATTTTGTTACGCTAAGGTACTGATTTGTCATTAATATCACATGAAAAAGAGAACTAAAACAGATATCTCAAGACATGGTCACATTTCGGTGCTGACAGTAAGCTGAACATATTCAATAACATTCTTTCACAGAAAAAAATTAATAAGCAAAACAAATCATGCAACAGCCAGATGAAATTTCTAACTTAAAGTTGACAATTAAATATGAAAATAAACCAACTGTTTGATGCCAGATAAAGCCCATCAAAGTCAATTTTATCATAAACTCAGAAGTCGCTAGTCTAGGAGGATTTGCAAACAAGTTCCACAACTGAACATATTGGCTGCTGCATCTATTGATATTTCAAACTACAGTCCTAATAATGCATCCACTTCTGCAAATAAGAGAGATGTTTTAAGTTATAATATATTAGAATTAGGGCCTGTTTGGTACAGCTCTAACTCCTAAATTTAGCTCCAAGAGTTGGGTCTGGAGTGGAGTTGTGGAGCTGCCTAAACCCAGCTCCATAACTCTAGTTCATTTTGTGAGAGAGCTCCACCCAGCTCCACTCCCAGTTTTGGTGGAGCTGAAACTGTTTGGCTGAGCTCCAGCTCCAGGAGGGGTAGAGCTGGAGCTGGAGCTGTGCCAAACAGGCCCTTAATATCACATGAAAAAGATAACTAAAACAGCTATCTCAAGACATGGTCACATTTCGGTGCTGACAGTAAGCTGAACATATTCAATAACATTCTTTCACAGAAAAAAATTAATAAGCAAAACAAATCATGCAACAGCCAGATGAAATTTCTAACTTAAAGTTGACAATTAAATATGAAAATAAAACAACTGTTTGATGACAGATAAAGCCCATTAAAGTCAATTTTATCATAAACTCAGAAGTCGCTAGTCTAGGAGGATTTGCAAACAAGTTCCACAACTGAACATATTGGCTGCTGCATCTATTGATATTTCAAACTACAGATTTAGTGTCTCCATTATCACAAAACTGCAGGTTTTAACAATCACAAAACTACAAGTTTTAAGAATGTTAAAACTTGTATTCTTAAAACTTGTAGTTTTGTGATAATGAAGACACTAAACCTGTAGTTTTGTGATAAATGAAGATATTAAATCTGTAGTTTTGTGAAACAAGTTCTTAAATATGTAGTTGTGTGATATATTGTGCAAAGTACCTGTAATTTTGTGATAAACGAAGACACTGAATCTGTAGTTTTGTGAAACGAGTTCTTAAATCTATAGTTTTGTGATAGATTGTGCAAAGTATACATAGTTTTATGAAATTTACTCTTAATTTATTTTAGTAATGGGCCAACAGGTCAGAACCAGAACGCAACCATATAGTGAGTTGAAAGGGATTTTACATTCAAAGCACCCAACCTGAGTATTGCTGCTTGCCTTGATACCAAAACTGTAAAAGCATCATTGTTCTCCTAATATCACCTAAAAAGGCATCAATTATATGCTTCTGTTGAGGAACAGTGATTTCTACTCCTTCAGACTTGCATATCTGCACGAAAACATGGTATGGTCATCGTTCAATAATTGCAGAAAGCAGCATAGTTTTTTGGTATTTCAGCCTAGAACTAATTTGTTTTTACCATGTCGACATGTGAAAGTAACTCTGCAGATGATGGGTATGTGAAATCCAATACTAGCTGAGCCAAGAGATGAGGCAATGGCGGATCTTTCTCTTCAGGAAATATAAAGACAAAAACAACAAAATAACAAGAGCTTTAGTATGCTCTTAATCAAATGAAATTTCGAAGGATGGTAGAGATGTACAAAATCCTAAAGACAAAAAGGCTTACTGTTACTGGTCAGTATGATTGGCCATTTTGTAGTCTCCACCATCTTAAGTATAGTTGAAATAAATCCACGGTCCTCATCAAAAACAGTATCTACATCTTCAAATAGGATGAGGGTCTTGTTAATGACTTGTTTGTATTCAGCCGTGCCAGGAGTCCCTGAAGCTGGATCTAAGGAATTGCTTATTGGTAAACCGATGATCTCCTCTTGTGACCTGCATGGGAAACCAAAAGATACTTCTGAGGTTGTCTCAAACATGCAAATTTGAAAAGTTTGAGACAAGAATGCTTGGATTGTCATTTAAACTGCACTTCGCTATGCATCTAGTTGGCAAGAAAACAAAGAGCAAACTTCATAAGAACTGTAAACAACTATCTTATGTTTTTTTTGGTTTGCACGTGTTGTTCCCCAAAACCAACATCCTTTTGTTCTTATCATCTAGTTGGTTGAGAAAAATCAGTCGTAGCCACATTAGAGATCACGCTTGTCTATCCCAGATTATGTTAGGCATTAACGCCGTCGAATAGTAGTCAATTTTACGAAGTAAATATGAGGAAAGTTCTTTTAAATACAAATGTGGGGAAAGGTTGATCGAGACACTGGTTATATATGTTTCGTCCTCCTATATAACCCAAAATCTTGCGTGTGAATATATTTATGGAGTTTACAAGAAGGGGCACTCTCTAGTCAGAAACTAAGAATGAACACTCCGGTACTTGTCAATAAACGGTCATAAGATGACAGTTGTTGATATAAAGGTGTCTCCAAACTGGCAACTGTTGAGTGATTCTTGCCAGTGACCCATGTTGTGCAGACACTGGCTGTTGATGAGCACTCCATGGGGGTCTACGGTAGGCTCATGGACTCCACCAGATCCCTAGCTCTACGTGTGCCAGGCCAGGATAATAGATTGAAACATATTATAATAAAGTGATTTTTTTTCAGCTGCAAAACTCAATGGACATGTGCCTAATGACGGAGGCAGGAGATGTAGGACCTATCTCTGTTACTCTGTATAAGAGGTAAGGTAGATTCGGTTATCTCATAAGCAAGAAAAAAGAAATAAAAAAATCTCCCAGATCCATGGTCTTATATTTCTCCTAAGCTCCTTAACTTTCAAGTCATCACAACCCAGCCTATTTATGTGCAGTACTTACCCCCATTAACTATGGTTCATAACACAGATACAACATGACCAGGATAAAGAAGGAAAATCAACATAATTATCATCATAAATATGAACAGTGATAACTTGGACAATAAATTGCACAGACCATTTTTCTAGACCATGTGATTTAGTTGCTTCCTCGAACTTCTGCCTTACATAAGCCCCATTTCTCATATCGGATGTATTTACCTAGAAAAACGTCACAAACTTCCATCAGAATAAAAAAATCAAGCTTTAGAAATCAGAGTTGAAATTTCAGGAATAAATTTTGCTGAAGTACTGTAAACTAGGTAACGAGAATACTCAGAATTCTGTTCATGTCCCATGTCCTAGTTTTCTCTAAAATGAAAGCACTGCATTTTGAATAGCATGTGTCCATAATTCCATATTAACATAACATTTTTACTGACTGTAACCTATAAAAACCTATAACCCCTGACACTACTGCATTTTTACAATCAAGTATGTCTGGAACAAGTTCAAGATTATACTTTAGAATATATCCAAACATAAGGATGAAGACAGAACCGATTATAGGCCATGGACCTTTACTTAGCCTTTTATCATATGTTAGCTTGATTAGACCAACAGACAAATCATAAATGCATAACTCAAATAATCAGGTGGTAGAGAACCTTAAGTTTTGTCTGTGCTTACTAGACAATGAAGTTTGATTACGCTTAGAGAACTAGACATGATTATGAACTTGATGTCATCATTATGGATATGAGCTAGCTAAGTGCCTCATAATAATAACGAAATTCCATAGTAGCTAAAGCAAGACTGATCCACACCAGTATGGGTGCGCATGGAGGTGGTTATGTTAGCATTTCTCATATATACAAACGAAACCCAAATAACCAAGCCAGGTGACACCTCATAGCGAGCAAAAAAAAATGGATTTCAGCTAATTTCTGGGCATCACCATATCTTAACAAAGTCGAGTTCAAATAAGCACATTCCACAATATCAGTATAACTAAAACCCTCCTTGAATTCAAAACATGAGACCCAACCCAAGAGGGGCGAGTTGAGCCCAACTTTAGCCCATGCATGTGGGCGTGAGTGCATGGTAGAATAGTACCATCTTGCTAGTTTAACGAGTGATGTACCAACATATATACCAAGTACCAAAACACTTCAACCCCCATGTAACCCTTTTACACGAAGCAAAGACAAATGCATAAGCTAAGGTTTGTGTGAGCGGTGTAATCTACCCAAAATGGGATTAGGCTCAATTTCAATGAGATCTTTCAGTTTCTTCTGCCAGAAGCTCCCCCAAACAGCGCCATATTTTATATGTTCAAAATTATTTATTCCTCTATACATAGAGTACCTTGAATGTGCAGAAATGGATATAATAGAATTTCTATTCATATGAACAAATACTCTAGTGGGAATGTACTTGATGCTAGGATGACTGGAGTCATGAAGCTTGTCAGGTTTCAGATCCAGGGTTTGAGCAAGAAGCTTGTTGTGCGGTAAGAATGGGAACACAACTGTTTTGGGCATATTAAGCTGGTCGTGTCAAGAGAGGGATGGAAAAGCATATACTAAATCACCCTTAGATTTTTCATGTTCCTAAGGGAGGAACATGTGTGTGTTGTACTCCCTCCATCTACTTTTGATAGTCATATTTCATCTTGACACACAGAACAATGATAAGTGGTTCTACTTATCATTCATTTAAATATGCTACTAGTCATTCCTCGTAAACAAGCGATTCATTAATATTTACATTTCTCGATGCCCATGTAGCTAATCTTGTGTGGAAGAATGGAGAGTCACGCATTAAATCCAAGAAAGCCATTAAGATGATAAGTTGTTAGATTGAAATATGCCTATCAAAAATAAATTTTTCAGATTTGGAAATATGCCTATCAAAAGTAGATGGAGGGAGTATATAAATAAAGGACTTCCAATACAGTATTATCATTTTTACAGCATTTTAATGTTACAAAAAAGTCCCGAATTGGTAGATATTGTAGAGAAAAACAGGCGAAAAGGAAAGAAGAAGCTGAAAGGATTCATCAAGCCAAAATATATTAGTATCTTAGTACACAAATAATATAGGAATATGGAAGCTCTTACAAGGTAGAGAAAAATGGAATTCCAGACAATACCTCAATTACATTGAATCCTTGTTCTCTCGCACATGCAAAAACTGCGGCTGATTTTCCACACTGTAAAAATGAACAAAGAGAATGAAGAAGCAGCTTTGCAGCTGGGAACAAAACTGATTGCTTATAGGTTGGTACACCTTTTTTTTCAAGTACAGCATACAAAAATATATAATAGAATACTATAGGAGCATCAATTGATTGCAGCCAGTAATCTTATGTTACCACACCTTCATGTGGAGAAAAAAGTGGTCGAAAACTTACTATTCTGCCTAGACGTAGCTTAGTACTTTCAAACGTACAGACCAATTCAAATTCCCGACAAGTTCCAGGGGGTGTAAAAATTATTGTCCCGAGCTCAAACAAATAAGATAAGGCTCCCCCCCCCTCTTCCCCTCTCACACACACAAACCCCCCACAAAACACACACGCACGCGAACACACAAGGAGATGATGCCCAGCAAATTCAAAAGAAAAAACAAAACAATACGTGAAGCATACAATGCAAACGGCAAGTAATCTTCAAAATGGAACTCACCCCAACTGGTCCAGTAATTAGAAGCACATTCTCATAATCAGAAGCATCTTCTGAATAATCTGTATCAGAACCATCTTGACAGGATCTACCATTCATGCTCCCGTTAGTAACTATATTCTGTTTATTTCTGTGACCTCTTTCATCCCACCCTTTAAGCCACTCATTGAGGAATTTTACATGCTTGGAATTACCACAAACCTGATCAACCAAGATAAAATAGTAATCTCAGAGCAAGTATAACCATATCTGAAGGTATTATTTTGTGAGTTCATAAAAATAGCATGTTGGCTAAAAAACCTGATCAAATAGAAACAATTGGAAACAGGCAGCGAGATTTTATTATGAAATATATGATTCGTACTGCCAATATGTAGAATAAATTGTGATGTTTACCTGTGCAGCAGTTTCAGGCCGGTACTTGTCAGTCCATAGGTTAGCTGTCTGACAGCTACAAGAGCAAATATTATGTTATTTGCCATCAAACCTATAGAGATAAAGGCTGATGCAAAAAATATATCATGCAAAATCTAGATTATTGACACTAGCTCAGTTGACCTATTGGCTACAACAAAACAATGAAAATTTTCATGCCACCATCAATAATGAAATCAACAGTTTTTTTTTCAGAAATGGCAGTCATAAAAAGACAACTATGCGGTGCCAGCAGCATTTTACTTTGCATTATTGTGTTACGCTGATTGACACTATCAGGCCATTAGTAATGTGCAACTCAAAAGGGATAGAAATATATGAGGAATGGAGCACAATTGATGCAAATTTAAGTACTATTATATTGTGCAATAGGCTACATTCCATAAAGAAATTGTTAGAGTATATGGTAGTTAGAGGGATGTTAGGATAGGATTGATTTGTATCATAGTCTTCCTTATCTCTAGATCCCCTTATCTCTTGTACTCTATACAGTATATACCAGCCCCCTAAGTCTCAATACAATCGTCCAGTTACATAGTATATTTCTCTCCCTCAACTATTCAACAGAAATATTATGAGGTAGGCTATCAAAGAAAAGATAATAGGACATAGAACCAGTAGGTGCCAAGAAAAGAATGAACATGAAAACAACGTAAGTGTAAAACAAAGTAGCATCCTAATGGCTGACACCACTTAAGTGAGCATTAAAACAGACACCAAACAGAGGGCGGGCTTGTTTGCTACTCCCTCCATTCCAAAATATAAGGCACAACTATCACTAACACGAAGACTAAAAAAATATTATTTTCACTTTCTCGTTTGGATCACCCCAATAAATGAAATGCATGCACCCAATGGGATCAAGGATCTTGAGGGTAGGGGATTTTTGTTATTAAAAAAAATAGGGGAGGGGTGTGTGCTAGTTAATTGCATGCATGAATGCATGCCCTCCCAGTCAAAAAAAAAATGCATGCTCTGTACTATGGAACATCAAAAAAAAAGTTGTGCCCTATATTTTGGAATGGAGGGAGTATTAATTTTGACCAGTACTTGTGAGTGTCAGGAGTTTACGCTTTGCAACTTCATAGGCTGGTGAGGTTCAAATGATTATTGATTTTCTTTTTCATTTGTGATCTGAAGGCAAAATTAAGACAACAAGAAGAAAGGTAGTCCTGTCCAGCACACATCAAGGCAAATAGTGTCCAATGCAGTTTACCCTTTCGGAGTGACTTCAGGCAATTCATGCTGTACCCTTTCGTGTTGTTTGCTTTCAAAAAGAGAGGCATGGAAACAGGAACTAGATGCTAACAGGCACTCATCATCAACATCAATCTGTGGAGAAAAGCAAATGGTTGTGTTTAAATCAAGATTAGCGCATGATTAGAACAAGAAATTCACTGGCTATAAAACCAAAAATCTATAACAGACGCACAAAGCAAACTCCTTCAAATGCTTCAAAAAAGATCAATGGGAAAAGGAAACTTGTACCACATCCTGAGAAGAAAACTTGCTTTTGTTTTGTTTGTCATGAAAGTTAGCCAAATGTTTTCCTGGATCTGCATGCTCTGCAGAATTCTGCTCAGTGGTACTAGTGCCAAGAAAAGATTTGTCGGCAATTAGCCATTTGTTACTCCAGTGAATTGGCATAGTGACCTGTAACACACATACACACACACAGATGTTCAGTCGCATTAGACAAACCACCCTAAGGCGGACCACAAAAGCACAAAGGTGAGATACATTATGGAACCAGATGAACAAAATATATGTTTTTATATAGACACACCTCCAGTTCGTACAAAACATGAACAGGACATAAAGGTGGGTCTCTTTCAAAAGCACAAAGTGAATCCATATCCTCATCCTCAACATTAAGAATATCTTGGCCAGCACCTTTGTGTATTTTCCGAGAAGCAAAAAATGGATGCATTTTCTTTCCAGATGATAACCTCCGATTTTCCTGGCAATGAATAATATGAACTTTTCAGACAAGAACAATCTTGGAATCAACAGAAGAGTAAAACAGCAACCATGACTTTTTTTTTCCCGAGGAACACTCAAATTGAGTATATTAAGATCCAAGACGTTGTAAAACATTGGAGGATGATTCACACAGACAGAAGTTAAGCTTATTTTAATACCCGACTGTACTGCTTAACAATAATAAGACAATATTTCTTAAACAATTGTTGTTGTTTTAAGAAAATGTATGCAATTCAGAGAACATTATAATGTAGTACAAAGCCTAAATTCAATATAATAAATATTATAAATATAAACTTGTGCAGGGCCCAAAAGCCATGAACAAATATACAGTATTCAACCAAACATAAGGCAACCACCGCAACCACAAAGGACAAGTATCCACTGTCTGAATTATTAGTAACATTTTACGTTTTACCTTTGCTTGAGATGACAAGGTGGGCATCCAAATGACTACAGATCTAAACTTGCAATAAGCATGATAGAACACCCAATTTTCAATTGATTATCGAATAGTCAGAATATTCTTAATGAATTATTGAGACAATAGTCAAAAGGAAGGTATAAAACAAAAAGACCAAAAGACTACATACAGTATCTCAAATCAAACATTGGCATGGGGCATACCTCTGCAGCTATATTTGCCTCTGACCTTAGATCAACTATCAACTGTGGCTTATCTTCATTGTCTAGTGCATCAACATTATCATTAACCGGACTTGCTTCAGATGGGCCGGTCACCAAATCAATATCAACTGATGTGGGTGATTTTTGAGGCAAGACAGCTTGAGTCTGACTGCTGCGTAGTTGCTGACAACTTTCATGACCTGCACAAGCAAAAGAAAGGCTCATTGCACTTTTTCAAAAGTAGAGTAGGTAGAGATACAATCGCAGCTAAACAATGGCATTGAGTTAACTTCAATTGAGCAGCCATGGCATATATTATTCTTTATATGCACAACAGCATGTGCAAGCAAATGACTATAAACTCAGACTGTTTTGACACTCAATAGTTGGATATTATTTTTTGTTAAACTCAAATTGTCGAATGCACGGATTATTTAATACTAATAGTGCGAATGGTGTTCAATATGTGTTTCCTGAACACTTGGTAGAAGTGTATTTTTTTTATTTTTTTTCAATTGTACAAACCAACATGGTAGGGTACTTCTACAGAGAAACTCAACAGTATCAAATCACCAACAATATTCACACATGCATGCGTGCGCGCGAGCACAGAAATGTGTGTGTGGTGACGGCTAAGTGCTCACCATCAGTAGATTCCAATGCTTTGCAGTGCTTTCGGTTCGGAACCTTCAGTGCTGCACCCTGATTCTTACCCCTGCCTTTCCTCTGTTTTTTCTGAGGGCTTTCATCTGAAATTCAGGTCAAATATTCAAATGTGATATTTCTGGCATGATATCACCTGTTGCGTGCCAGTCACAATGTATAGTAAATACATAACAGAATAATGACCAGACTGGTGAAGCACTTAAGAAGTTAATAGAAATGATAAAAATATGGGCATGTGTAGACCAAGTACAGGATTGACATACCAACCAAAATCACTTCATCCTTACTATCTTGCTCCAGACCAGTTGTCTCTCTGTTTGAAGACGGCTGCATGAGTTTGATTAAACAAATCAGGATTTTACATAAATGAAAGGTGAACAGAATAACACACATGTACCGGTTCATTAAATATATAGCACCTAAATTGAATGAATGGATCCTTTTTCTTAGAATATAAGATATACACAGAATACATAAACACGGTAATCGGTCTACCTAGGATCATGTGAATGTCTGCAGCTACATTGCAAAGGTTTCTTTTATGCGCTGCTTATCTGGGGATGCAGCTTTACCCATTTGCCTGATTAGATCCAATTTGAGACAAATGAGATGGGTTACATTCAATGGCATAAAATTCTTGCTAGTGAGTAGATGATCATATAGGTGTAGTCAAGCACCATTCATGCCCATTTCGCCCCTTGCCCACAAATCCTAGCATGCTCCAGCCCAAAATAGAACTACTAGTACTGAGTAACTAGCTGTGGTAGGTGGCTCAACCAGTGGTGAACCCAGAACAGAAATTACAGGGGGTCCTTATGCTCATCTGACCCATGCGGTAGCCTTCTCAGGTGTCCAATGTAACTTGGTTGGGATATCCCACATGGTATAGTTATAACTGTAAAAAAATAATTTACATGTGTCCAAGGACCCCTGTTGGGCCTTAGTAGGTACGCCCCTGGGCTCAACCAGCCCAACTACAGGTTATTAGAGAAGAAACAATAAGACATTCCCTTGGATAATCTGCCAACACTACCAAAGAGCGCATCAGTATAGGCTCTGGAGCGACAGTAGTCACAGTGTGATGCCACTATCATCGGAAACTTCACTGGTTGGTGACTTGGTGTCATTAATTGAGACATGTTCCGCCAGCACTCACTATCCTTCTCTGCCTGACACAATTGGGCCTTTTTGTCATGCTTGCTCAGATTCGTCTACCATCTTCATCATCCTCATCTACTCGCCCTTTTTTTCTCGGTGCTATTTTAAATAAGTCTATTTGAATTTGGATTTTTTTTCTCTCAATTAAGTCCATTTGAAGCTATGAACAGTCATTTTTAGACTAGTTTGATAGCCATCAAAGGATAGTGGTTATACAGTGGTTGCAACCTTATATAGTGATTTTTTTTGTCATCGATAAACAGATAAAGAATTAAAAATTGTGCACAACACCCTAATTTAATCATGTTTCTACCTGAGTTATGTATTGTTTTGACATGTTCTCTCCCTAACAAAAGTGGCACACTAGACTTATATGTCCTTTAAAAGAACTAGTTGGACCAACCGAAATTCAACCCAACGGGTGAATCAGAACAGTATGGACTACCGAGAAGACGCAGACAACAGCTAAGGTAGGCAAAATTCAAGCAATGTACCTTCTTGCCGGCCTCTGATTTCCGCGGCCTTCCTCTCTTTTTCACCTTCTCCGGCGTCCCATCGCCCGCGGCCAGGGGAGGGAGACCGGCACCTCCTGCTTCTCCTCCGCCTCCGCCCGCCTTGGGAGGTCCCCACGAGAGCTTCGACTGAACGCACCGCCGCAACCGATTCCCGTCCGCGGAAGCAGGCGAAGGAGTCGCCTTCGCCGGGGAAGGGGACGGCGACGGCGTCGGCGTCGGCGCCTCGGGATCAGCAGATCCGCCCATGGGAACGAGCGAGAAGGCGAGGCGGAGAGGAGGGGATCGACTCTAGGGTTTGGGTTTTTGTGAACGATGGGGGGAAGAAGCTCAGAGAGAGTCAGAGTGAGCACAGCGGGAGACGGGGGTTGGATTAGCTTCACGTTTCCCGCGCGGTGAGGCGAAACGCGGGCAGATTTGGGCGCGCCGCGCATATATACCGCGCGTCCGCGCGCGCGCGGAGGAGCTTTGGCGCCGCGGTCAGAGGGCGGAACGGGATGCTGGAGCCTGGAGGCCGAGGAGACGGACACTCGCGTCTCGAGTCTCTGCTGACACGCGGCAGATTATTTGATACTCGTTTTCATGTCTCTCTTGATTTTGTGAAGAAAACTGTAATCAGATTTTTTTTTGAGAGAGAGAGTGCAATCAGAAACTATTTTATGTCACTTCCATCGTCTGTTGATAAGAAATTATATATATCACTAGAGAGACAGGGCCTATTCCACTATTTCCAGCTTATCATGTTGGATCAATTCTGCCTATAAATAGGTTGTTAAAACGAACCAACCATGACAGTATAACAATAAGGCATCACGATAATTCTGGGCATTTTGATTGTCCATAGCATAACAGAGTTTGGATGCACAACACATAGCAAGGTTTAGTCCCATGCAAGCACAGGTTCAAAAGAAATCCACGAGGCGATAGTTTAGAGGAAGATAACAGCTAAATATGTGACCATGGAGCTTATCCTCTCAACCACGTGTTCCTGTAAGATGAGTTATCCCGCAGTGAAGCATCATGTGGTTTGTACTCCATCAGATAGCTGTGTGGCAGCTTCAGATGCCTCTTAATTGAATCTCTTAATGTCATCACAGCCTGCACGACAGAAGAAAGAAAGTGAGTACAAGTCTAGAGTTCAAACATAATAGCTATTGTAGCATTTGTGTTGTCCCAAACCTGGTGGTCAGATGCATTACGGTTCCAGACACTTAGAATGTCCTCATTGAAACGAACACTGAGTACAACGCCACAAACATCATCACTATAATCAAGTTGATCACCCACTAGCACCAACACCTGAGATATAAGCACAATAAGCAAAAGGAGTTACTAAAATTCAAGCTACCATACATGTGCACCATAAAGAACAGTTTGGTGAAGCATTGAAGAGCATCTACAAGTTAATAGCAGAACTGGACAAGCCTCCTGAGAAAAGTACATATTATTCTGAAAACTTTTACATGCATATGGCTGGTCTCATGCATCATTAGTCATTGGAACCTTGAAAGAACCATTTAGCAGTTTGAAATCATTCTCAAGGTGACTTCTGCGAAGGTAAAGAAAACTGAATGTGGAACATGCTAGTCCCAGATCATGGCATGAAACAAGCCATCAGAAAAGGTTTGAAGATGCTAAAGGTTATACAGTATCTGGCATAGACCTAAATATAGTTGTGTACCATACTGTGATGTGACAATGATTCCTATGAAAGTCGGGCCCTTTGATTCAAAGGAAATTTATAGGAATTTCAGAGGGTTTCATTCCTATAGGATTTTTTTTCCTATATAACCTTTGAATAAAAGGAATAAATCCTACGAAATTCCTATGGAATGCATGTTCCCATACAAGTTTTGGAGGAAATTTAGGGCCCCTTGGAATCGCAGGAATGAGAAAACATAGGAATAGGAAAAACGCAGGATTTTGATAGGAATGTAAGTGTAAAACAGAGGATTGCAAAACACAGGAAAAACACAGGAATGGTCGTTTGATTAGACCGCAGGAAAAACACAGGAATTAGAGGAGAGATAAAGACTCAAAGGAAAGTTTCCAAGAGGTTTTACCTCATGTTAGAATTCCTCCAAAACTTGCATGGCATTAGGCAATCCATAGGAATTTCATGGATTCCATAAGATCCATTCCTTTGATTCAAAGGGCTATATAGGAAAAATTCCTATAGGAATAAAATTCTCTAAAATTCCTATGAATTTCCTTTGAACCAAAGGGGGCCTTAACATGAGGTAGAACCTCATGAAAAGAATCCTTTGTCTTTCTCTCCTCAAATTCCTATGTTTTTCCTGCGATCCAATCAAACGGTCATTCCTATATTTTTCCTGTGTTTTGCAATCCTCTGTTTTACACTTGTATTCCTGTCCAAATCCTATGTTTTTCCTATTCCTCCTTTTTTTTTCATTCTAGTGATTCAAATGGGCCCTTAATGATTTCAGAATACACCAAATTGACCATCACAACAACGGAGATCAAGGAGGAACAATAGATAGAACAGAATAGCAGGAAAAGAAAAGGAACAAATGAAAATGAGAATGGAACAAAAGAAAAAGGCAGCGTGAATGTGGTACCAATGCTGAGCAGGCATGGCAACTGAAATAGTGACAGAAAAAAGTATGGCTAAAACCCAATGTGGCAAACACATCTTCCAAGCTAAAATATCATGTCTTGGAACATGGAAACAATGCAATGTCACAATATTGACATGAACAAACAGTACCAGCACAACCTCTTGTGTCATTTAGGGCTATTTGATTTAAGGTTTGGCCTGCTACAGGATATATGGGCCCATTGCATGGCCATCCTATGATTTTTATGCCATGGCCTTATTGCTCATCATGCATTGGCATTGTAGCCATGTGAAGTTGGCATGGTAAAAGACAGATACTTTATATTTGTAAACCAAGCAATATTAGGTTTGTAGAACTAGGCCACTTCAAAATTGCATAAATTAAGCAGCGTCATTGTAATGCGGTGATACGTAGGTGCTTACAAATAAGCTTGCACATGATCAATCCTAAGAGTCATCTTTTCACTCCTCGGAAAAGAGTTGGGCAATGATGGCATGTTCCACACCCATCCCCCATCAAAACATTCTGTGACTATAACATAGATATCTGTGGATATGCATGAGATAATTGCAGCATATTTTTGTAGGAAAAATAACCCTATCCATGTGTGTGTGTTTTGGCTAATCTCATGCTGTCATCTATATAGTTTTCAAAACATGTGGATAACTATTTCACTACTGTATATATCGGTATATTATTTCGCATCTGTCACCACAGACATGCACTTACTAAATTACTAGTCTCCTGAGAACCCGAATGCATATACAGTAAAGTGCAGATGTATTTACCAAATCCTCCCAGAAACGACCAGAGACGGTCTTCTTAAACCTTATGATCCACTTGCCACCGCTCCTATTTGCGGGATCCTGCTCAACCAAACTCCGTCAACAACTAGAAGCATAACAGAGATAACTCTAAACAAAACACAACCACATAGAACAACACGGTTTACTGACTACTGAGGAGTACCTCCCAGAGGGGCCGGATGCCCTCCTTGAAAAGATGCAGGTCGGTGGGGCTCGGCAGGCTAACCGGCCGCGTGAGGTGGCAGTAGCAAACCCAGAACGACTCAACCTACATACAGGACACCCAAACAGCATCAGCAATCCAATCTGCAGCCCTGAAATTAGAGAATCCCCACCAAAAGAAATTCGCGGTGACGTACAGTGCTGAAGTCGACGATCTTCTTGATGTTGTCCTCGTAGGACTGCGACCTCGCCCCAGGAGTCCGGCGCGTGTACCATAGCACGAATCTACGCTGCGGGTGCACAGGTAAAAAAAAAACAAAGGAACACGGGTTACTTACATACATCTATCTACTCGATCTCAACCTCCAGGCGCGCTGGAGAAACAACTTTTCCTCTTTCCGGGAGGGAAATAGAAGCTGGATCTAGCGGCGGCGGAGGAGTACTTACCCTAAGGGGATGGAAGCCGGCCTTGAGCTCGCGGTTGCGGCGCTCGTTCTCCTCCGCCTCAGCCTCGTCGTCGTCGGCGGAAGGGACGGCGGGCTCGTCGTGCTGCTGCTGCAGCTCCTCCTGCTCGGCCTCCCTCTTCTCCGCCGCCGGCTCCATGGCGCGCCCTGCTGCGGCGATTTGGTCCGCTGGGGTGTTTGGTCAGTGGAGTCGAGAAGGATGGTTGATGGGAGTTGGGAACTGGGAATGGAACTCGTGGGGGACGCGGAAATATCGGAAAGTGGCCTACTGGGCTTGTGGGTTTCGGCCTTTTGGGCTTTTTCAGGAGTAAACGGTGTTTGTCTTTTCTTTTTTTTTTTGTTTGATGGACTGAACTCGCTAAAATGTCATGGTTGTCGTCTCGCTCTGTGCCTCCGTGGAATTTTGTAGAGAGCATTTTAATTTTAAGAGACAATTTAAGAAATGTCATTAACAAGCGTCCAAATTTAAGAAATATCATCGACAAGCGTGAGTTTGCCATCGTACGAACGACTTTATTCTAAAAATAACATCGTCGTTAGAGTTCCGCACATCTCGTGTCGTTAAATATATTGTTCATCCTATATCACTTAACAGCATGGGATAGAGGAACCCTAACGGCAATGGCATTTTTGGGACAAAATTATTCATACGATGGCATTTCTTGTATTTTGACATTTGTCAATGACATTTCTTAGATTATCTAATTTTAAAGGATAACCGATAATTACTTACATTCACAAGTACATGTGTGTGTAAAAAAATTGTACTCTTATTTTATATTTCAAATGCTTTTACGCGATATTAGTTTTATAGCTCGGACGCCTCCCGCGCGCGCGTGTTGCTTCCACCACGCGCGCTCCGTTGCAACATCTGCCCGGATATAACAGAAACATCCTATTAGGGGGGATCCATTTCATTTTTTTTCCACCGACAATGTTTCAGCTAGTGTACTCGCGATGTTTCACTATGTATGGATGAAATGTTGCAGTGGATTTTTTATAATGTTTTAATAATTTCATCTTGATGGACACATGGTTATTGATGTACACAGGGTTTAAGTGTTGAAATGGCTTTAAATCGTTTGTTGCATACGTTGAACCAAATTGTTTCATCTAGCGATCTGACTGTATTTCACTTTTTTAAAAAATTGAAACATTCTTTCACTATTTGCTGAAACATTGTTTTTATATAGGGTAAAACAACGCCTATTTTTTTAGAAACCGTTGTTTCATACGTTGTAGCAAAATGTTTCATGAGGTGATTTGGTTGTATTTCAGTCTTTTACAAGATTAAAATATTTTTAATCTACTTAGTGAAACATTTTCGGTCTACTTAGTAAAATAGTGCCTGATTTTTTATTTTTTTAAAAAAAATCGGGCACCCAATTTATAGGCGTCTCGGTGAAAATCAATAGATGTAGCAATTGTTAAACATCTTATAGGTAGCTGGTCCACTGTGGATATTTCACAACAAATTGTCGGAATGAAAATGCAACAAAAATGGTTTTATATTATCTTGATATTTTTTTCTCTACAAAGTGTCACTCGACTAAGTTACGTTTTTCATTGCTTGGTACGCAGTATTGGATAGTGTTGTTTTCCAATGGAGGTTCGAGTTGCCAGAGTACAAGCATCAAAATGGATCCTTGTCATGACTTAAGATATACACCCTCCGTTTCATAATATAAGTCATTCTAGCATTGTACACATTCATATATATGTTAATGAATCAAGACATATGTCTTTGTCTAGATTCATTAACATCTATATGTATGTATGTAGGTAATACTAGAATGACTTACATTATGAAACAGAGAAAATATGAACATGAAAATATTTAGTCAAGGATTTACCGCTAGACTCCGTTTCTTTAAACATGTGCTAAGGATTATTCGCGGTTACATGTGGTGTGTATGTACATCTTACATGTAAGTTATTACTTGACATAAATTTTACGCTTTCAATTTTATGGAACAAACTCTATACACGAGAACATGCTAACACAACTAGGGTTCCCTTATCTTTTGGGGAGGGGTTACCCTACTCAACAATATCATGGTTACTAAAAACCAAGAAATTACTAACAGAAAGAGATCTAAAAAACTAAGAGAAGTAATCGCATGATATTGTAAAACCCAGGCACATTAGGAGTGGCATTCATGTTTGAAAGGTCACATTCTGCATGTTCAGGGAAATAGTTCAAACTTTCTAAAACATAACATCATAAAGATAGATTTCTTTACAAGCATGGTTTTAAACGTATATGTTTCATTTCGACAATCATAGTATTATATTGTTGGTGTATACGGCCGGATTCACAATGTTTGACAATCATGTGGAGTCAATCAGGGTTTCCCAAACCGCTGGGGCCGAGTTACCGCGCCCCGGCGGTAAGCACGGCTACCGCACGGTAACCGTGAAAAATCATGCAAAATTTATCAAAAATTTAAATTATTTTTTAATTTATTTAAATTTAAGGAGGTTACCGCGGTATTTCTATTACCGTACCTCCGCGGTAAGGACGGTCACTGCGTGGTTACCGACGGTAATGTAAGCCTTAGAGTCAATACAGGTTACTGTATATATAGTTCCACGTGGTCAGGTGCACTTCTTAATTTAGAGGTAAAAACACCTATATAATATGAATGAATTTATTATAGGGCCTTGTTTAGTTGGGGAAAACTTTTGGGTTTGATTGTCACATCGGATATATGGACACATTTGAAGTATTAAAGGTAGTCTAATAACAAAATAAAATTACAGATTCCGCCAGGAAACTACGAGACGAATTTATTAAGCCTAATTATTCTGTCATTAGAAAATGTTTAATGTAGCACCATATTATAAAATCATGACAGAATTAGGTTTAAAAGATTCGTCTCGTAATTTACACGCAATTTGTGTAATTTGTTTTTTTTCCTACATTTAATACTCTATGTATATACAACGTAAAAATTTTTGTTTTGGAAGCTAAACATCCTAGGTCTTGATATAATTATGTGTCATGCCAATCACTGTTGTACATATGTGAATCTACGGTGAAGAACGAGAGAGGCACCTCTAGCTTACTGTAGTAATTGACCTGCCAATGCGAGCTTTAAATTCGAGTGACAATTCACCCTGTACGCTTCTTGCAAACGACACATTAATGGTCATCTTTTCTTCCATGAATATAGCCCATTTCTTCATACATTGCGTGCAACGTGCTTATGAACTTCGCGTGCGCTGTTCTTTGACTACAGAAATAAGCACTTCGCGTGCGCTGTTCTTTGACTACAGAACTGGATTCACGCATAGACAAAGGCTCCTGTGGATAAGCAACTAGCTCCCTATCCAAGTATCCATCGTTGGAAAAACTCTCCAATCAAGTTAGGTCGAAGTTTTCCTCTATAGTCCTTAAGGAAAAAAAAGGGGCAAATATCAGTGCTTCACTACAGATAAAAAAAAAAGCCTGTGTGCTCGAATATTGCTTGAAACAAGTTAATTCTGACGTTTTTTGAACATTTTCACATTTGTGAATATCTTTGCACAGTAAACTTGTTTATCAAAATAAAACAAGAGAGAATCATATATAGATGGACCACTAATTTGTAATATTAAAGTACATTAAGGGTGACGGATTAACTATTATTGCCCTTTTTTTTAGAGTACTAGAAAGGGTTTGCGCGCTACGGCGCGCAGCAAAAAAAATTAAACAGAAAATATTACAGAACGATTAGGTGATTAATGCATATACATGTACTCCGTCAGTGATCATTTACATTGATTAAAAAACAACACACTAATATACAGGACAAATAAAGTAGCTGCCTACAGGAAATGGTCCATTTATAAGTTCATGTGTATTCTTCTCTCCTGCTAGTTCAATCCACAACAAAAGCACAGCAGTATGAATGGCAGCTTTGGTCCTGCAAACATGAAATGGTTATACTTATGTCGGACGATATAATGCACATAATAGTTTCGTTATAAAGCAGCACCGACTGAAGAGTGGGAGCACCAAACTAAGTGGATTAAACATAAAAGAAGAATATTCATTATGAAATATAGCAGTCTCCAGCTCTTATCAGTCAAAATAAATAAGTAAATAAAAGAATATATAATATATATAAATATGTAAGAGCAGCAGGAAAATGATTATCCGTAGGCATCGCCATCGTTTGGAAAGCCTTTGTGTCATATTAAACTCTGAAAAGTGCTCTAGAATGACATAAGGCCAACATCCCGTGAGCTGTTTGTTTATAAACAAGTTGCCCGTTAAAAGAGTAAACTATGACTGAAAAAAAAATCATGCTAGCTAGCTACTTACAGGGAAACCAAGATTTGCAACCATTAAAATTAAACCACCATACATAGTACTGTTTAGCAAAGATACATATGGATCAGCAAGTATACCTTGCTACGGGGTAGTCACTGAGCACACATAAAACCCCACGTGTAAGGAAGAGAAATTGAATGTAATTCATAGGAGGACAATTCAGTTTTAGAAAATATGTTGTTTTGGCACGCGTTTCTGTATGGCCACTAATCTTCACATATTAAATAACATTATTTTATATCATATTGTTGGGCTTATGAAAAAATAAAACAATCCAATCATCCAAAACCGAACTGTCACCATAACCAAACCGAATCCGTATATCTAAGGACTGTTGAGCCTAGTAACCTCACATTAGCACAAAAAACTTGTTGGGCAACATAATTGACCTAACAATATATATAGGGAGCTCATCAACAAACAACATTGTGTGACACAATGACCTAAGAGACCAAGAACATACACCTAGGTTTCTATCTAGCATATCCATCAAACAAAAGTTAAGTTGGGAGTGGCTTGTTTTTCACTTAATCTTCATGTATGAATAATGCATAGCTTTAAGTAGAGACAACCATCATGAAGAAAAGATCCATATGGATACAAAAATGTACTGCTAGTAGGAAGTAGTAGGTCATAACACAAGTAAGGGTGGCTTATGGCATAGCGGCATAGCATCTTAAAGCCCCTTTGATTCACAGGATAGGCAAAGCACACGAATAGGAAAAACCCAGGAATAAAAGTGGTGTGCTTCTTTAATTCTACAGGAATAAAAACACAGGAAAAGATAATAGGAGCCCTTCGATAGTGCCATAGGAAAAACAAAGGAAAATTTACAAAGAGGTTATACCTCTTGGTATTTTTCCCATGAAAGTGAAGCATAGGAACATAGTCCTATAAGCCAAAGGGAAACATAGGAAGAAAAATATGTTGGAATTTGAATCCCATAAAATTCTTTGCCACTCCTAAGAATCAAAAGGGCCCTAACACCGTAAGAAATGTTAGCTGACAGATGCAATAAACCTTTCCTTATGTAATCCATTATTGACATATTGCTTTCAAAAGCAGAGTGAGAGCAGTGACACTGTAACATTACAGCAAATAGTAAATTGCATAATAGATCACCTACAGGAGAGAATGACAGCCCTGAATAATTGTAGCTTTTGTCATCACCTACACAAATACTTCACTTTAATCAGAAGTAAAGAACATTCACAGCCCTCGCGGCAACACCTAGCCATAATGTGGGACCTTATTTTAAGAAAAAATGATATAATAGTCACTAACCAAAACTACTGCACCAAAATCGAAAGCAGTCACAATATGTTGGCAACAAAGAGCCCCACCTTCGGTTTTTTCGGCTAGGTAGCGGGCTTAACTCTCTTATGCTGAATGTACCTTAACTGATGCTTGGTGCAGTCTATTTTCCCTGCACGGAGAAGTAAAGCGATAGAAATGAAATTGCTATGGATCCAGATGTGATACTGAAGAGGCAACCATCTTAAACATCAAAGGGGATAATAAAATATTATCTGGAACTTATGCTAATCAGGTGTGAATGATGCTATGTAAATCCTAACTGGTAATGTAATACGCACTAAACACCTTGTTTCATCTCCAGGGACTATGTGTCTTGTAACTGAATCTGTATATAGCACTGAAAAGTAAGTAAGATTCAGAGGCCCCGCAAAAAAGGTAAGATTCAGAGGCAATGCAACGGCATGAACAAAAAGGGAAAACTTCAATAAGCTAGTATTGGTCAGCAGCAGCACATCCACATGACAGCAAGCATGAGGCAGAGCAAAGCAGTACAGAGCAGAGGAGGAAATACATATGGAGGGACGGAGGAGGCTTATTTCCTCAAGGCGACGGAGTTGTCCATGAAGCCTGGGATAACACCCTGACCCTTGCATTGAATCTAGGTACCTGCACAACCAGGCAATAGCAGAAAGGGGAGGAATTGATAAGAATAGCTACATTGCCATAATTGGAAAAAAGAAGCCCTTGACAGACTACCTGCCAGCAAAATTAAAGGTGGAAGCTAATCATTTAATTGCTGCTCCTTGGCAACTCCTGAATCCAATAACCGTGGTGCTGGTGTGTCACCCTGCTGCAGCCCTATTGATGCACTACCATTCCGTGGTCTGGAAGACCAGTGTGGGTCTTGCACCGGCAAAATGAAGAAATATACCAGCAACAAGGCTTTCATTGAAAGCAAGACTGCCATTTTGTCTCATGTGATTCACCTCAGCTTGGATGCCTGAAAGTAGTGTTTGCAATTTTGAAACTTATGTAATACAATCAACGTAGGTTGTATCCATTCTAAAGAAAATCAACCCTGCTTTTTCTTTATGAATGTAGGAAACATGCATGGACTTAATGAAATTCCTTTTTTATGCTGGTTTTAGATGAATTTGTGTTTCACTCTGTTTCAGAACAAAGAATTGCATCACAACAGGCTAAATTTGTTTAGAGCAGTGCAAGAACATGTTTGCAGGAATAGGACCTTGAAGATTGTTGTTGGCAAGATTTCTATATGCAAAATTTGGTCAACAATTGCACAGAATAAAAATAAAGCATACAACATAATTCTTAGACGCGATAAAATTTTTTACAGTTCAAAAAGCTCAAGTTTGCCAAGTTCAGCTGGAATTCGAGCTTTGCACAGGCACAGCTCTTTTCATGATTGTTACAGGGAGGAGGGTTGTCAGTTGATGACAGGAGGTCAGGATTAGTTGCTTTGGAGGTGACAGGCTAATGGTCGCATTTGCTTTAGCACATCTACATCTTTAAGTTTCTATTGAAAAATAGACTTGTGATGGTGATGACAAATTCAATTTCCCTTTAAGTTATTTTGAGACTCCTCCAGTCTTTCCACTATTCATTCATAAAAAACATAAAAGATTGGCATGTGGTAATCCATGGCAAATGATTACAAAACCACAGAACACATCAACCATGAAACTCAAAAGTACCTGCAGAGCTAGTCCATAACCTCCATCAAATTCTTGTTCGAAGAAAAGTAGCTGTAGATAAATATTTGGCAATTGAGAGAATTATAAATAATATTCCAAAATTCAAAAGAGATGCAGAACATAAAAGCTTCAATTCCAGAGCAACCGAAGGAATAATCAACATCATACCTTAAATTCACTTTGTGCGGCTGAGTTGACTCTGACTACAATGCCTGACCGAGCTTGTTCTTCACTTATTGTTACACCATAAAAAAGAGCACACTTCTTGTCAGCCTATAAATAGAAAAATATATGTGGTAGCCATCCCATTATAAACAAGATCATAAAACTGGTAGTGGCGGAACCTTTCCTGGTGCTGATGATCCAACTGGGAGTGATCTCAATGTATCTGTTCCACTTATAGCTTCTTCAAGAACATTCAAGACAAAAGGAGAACTGGAAGGATAAGAACTGAGGGCATGTTCACTTTGATGCCAAAAAAATCCTTACCAAATTTTGACATTGCCGAAATTTTGGCAACTATGCCAAAATTTTGGCAACTGGCAAGATTTCTTATATAAGTTACCAAAATTTGGTAAGGTTGAAAATGGCATCAAAGTGAACAGGCCCTGAACCTTTGTTGCTTAACTCGACCAAATTTTTTGTGTTGACCTAAACCATTGCTGAAAGAATAGAACAGGAAGGAGAGAACTGAATCCTTTCTAATTCTTCATTATACCAAGCTGTCACAGACCATGCGCAGAGGACGTCGGACCCGGATGCTTGAAGGGGACAGGTTTGATGGAGATCTCAACGGCCAACTTCTGCCAATCCGCTTCCTCCATCCTCGCGGGCCGCCCGCTTCTTCTTTCTCCACCGGTCAAACTGTCAGATCCGGCGAGGAATTGAGCTGCCGACCACGGAGCGGCGCCGTAGATTTGGGTAGGAGGGAAGAGTGGAGCGGATGGGCAGAGTGGAGGGGGCCGGAGGAGGTGCTGGCAGAGGACGGCGGTGGCCGGAGGACGACGACGCTGGGAGACGGATAGGAGAGAGACGAACGGAGAAGGCTGCCGCCGCTGACAGAAGGGGAGGGAGAAGAAGGGAGGGGACACGGCGACAACAGCAACGACGGGCGCCGCATCTGTCCTCCCTCGTCGCAACCGCCGCCGCCGGCACAAGTGAAGGGAGAAGGAGGAAGGGAGCACCTGTGCCGGCTCCGACGGGCGCCTCGCCCGTCCTGCCCTCGGCGGTGCTGCCACAAGGTGAGGTAGGAGGGAGAGGAGAGGGAGAAAAAAGGGGAGGGAAGACATCGGCGTCAGCTCGAACGCGCCATCCGCCCCGACGCCGCCGTGAGGGAAGGGAGAAGAAGGGGGGAGCGGGGAAACCGGTGACGGCTCCAACGCCGCCGCCAAATCGCCGATCGGAAGGGGGAGCGAAAGGGGATCGGGGAGGGCGACGTGGGGAGGGGAGCGCTCGTCGATTCTACGACCAGGTAAGGACGTATACGAACGGCCAGATTTTGTCCACACGTGGGAAACAACGGCTCTGATCAGGTGGACTCAATCAGAAATACTAAAATAACGAGGGATTTTAGGGCAACCATAATGTGCATGGAAACTAACCTTAAGGAATAAAGTAGTAATTTTTGTTGTACCTTTGTACATTGGGAGATGAGCTAGGGAGAGAATAGTGCTATGTGCAACCTTAAGCTTAAGGCTAGCCATAAGAATTAAAAAAATATATCATGGCTTTGCAACATGCATGCACACTTTCAATCTTGAGTAAATATGTGTCTTTTTACTCAATGGGTCCCACCTTAAGGTCAAGAAGCTACCACATACATTGTAGCATGTACTATAGATAAAACAATATAAGAATGTGGGTCTCATCTTATGGCTCAGTTGATCTAAAACATTGAGGATGCTCTTATGCAAAATTCGATGGCGTGGATCGGCTGAGCTCGCGGCAAATCTAGGACGTTTAAGATATCTAGTTGACGGAGCGTGGGGCTCCTCACCGGGAGACCGCGCAGGCCCCCCTTTGCCGGTTCGGCCGGGGGCGCTGAGTGAGGTTCTTCACCCTCGATCTGTGGAACGTTCGCGAGAGAGCAAATGCACAAGACATGGGCGATGTATATAGGTTCGGGCCGCTGAGAAGCGTAATACCCTACTCCTGTGTTCTGGTGAATCTGTGTGTGAAGGAGTTACAGAGCAAATGGAGAGCAAGAGAGTTCAAGCTCTAGAACCCCTCTTTTTCCTTCTCTTCTGGTTCTTTTTTCACCCTCCCTCCCCTCCCCCCCTTTTAGGTGGGCAATGTCCTCCTTTTATATCTCAAGGGGATACCACATGCACTTCTTCTACCTACTCTTCTTTTGGGTGGGGACCCACCCTATCTTGACCAAATCTTGACTCGCGCCTCCGCCTGGAAGCTAAATCACCGCTTGTCCTTGAGTGATGCCCAGCGCCGTCACTCGTCGGACACAGGGGATCACCCTATCATTTCTTCATTAATGGGAGGAGATCTTCAATGGCCGCTGTCTGAATGACCCTCCGATGGGATGGGTCATACTTACCTCCACTCCACCGGAAGCAGATGCAACGTGGGAGCACGGTTGTCTGCCGATGACGTGACCGGCGTTAGTCCAGTCACAGACCGGACATTCTTCTCCACCACGCGTCAGTTTAGCATGCCGCACATCTGCCCCTCTTCATACAGTGACTTCCTTGCAACGGTTGCGATGAAGCCTGGCATGAATCGAGTCGGGACTGACGTGCTAACTCCAGGAGTTACCACGCCGGCTCCAGCTCGGGACGAGTGCCAAGAGGCTCTCATCATTCCGACGGGACGGGGCGAGGCGTGTGACAGGCCGCCTGCTGCCACGTAACTCGCGATCTGACCGGTCTGTGACCGGTCACACATTGCGACCGGTCACGGACCGGATATGCGTGCGCCGTGCTGCATTAAATGCGGCGTGGCGCGCTTGTCCATTCCGCAATAAATGTGGTTTGGTGAGCGCCGCTGTGCCCACCTAACCCACACACGTGGTGCCAATACCACAGGGGGTCGGGGCGCCCCAGCCCTCGGGGCCGAAACAGGAGCAGCCCGACCCCTCGGGGAGACAGAGGAGGGGGTGGGCACGTCTCCCTCGGGCCCGACCCCCCGAGGGGGTCAGGCCACGTGGGTGACCGCGGCTGCCCAAGTCTCTAGTCATGATACTCCCGGTCCCATGTCACCGACAGTAGCCCCCGGCGTTATGCCAGGGCGTTCGCCCCCCTCGAGGGAAGCGCTCGGGCGTGACGCCACTCTTTAGACCTGGTGACAGGTGGGGCCGCTCTCTACAGGCGGGCAGGAACCCAGCGGTCGCAAATCGCGCGCATCGGCTAGGGAAAAACGACCGATAACAATGAGTGGCCTCTTCAAGACCGTTACATTACTCGAGTAGTGCGCGAATCGGGACGAGCCGGTTCATTTCGCCTGGAGATATGATGATGGCGCTTCGGTCGGCGAGCGTAGTTAACGCGCGCACGATATATCCCATCTCGACTGCCACGGCCGCACATCCGCCTCGTGCGCCGCAAACGGGCGAGTGGGATTAGTGGAGGCGTGGGCGCGAGAAACGAGGGGGCGAGATAGTGGGCGCGGGAAACGAGGAGCCGGGCATAGCGTTGGCAAGGGTATAAAGGCGCCAAGGAAGAGATTCGTTTCCTTCCTTTCGCCATTATTCCCCTTGCCTTCGCCGTTTGCGCCCTAACTCCTTGTTTCCTGTGCCCTACCCTTGCCGCACTCACTCGTTCTCAAGCTCCTCCTCCGCCGGCGTCATGGCACGGGGCTCCGCACCGCTCGACGGTAGCGTGCTGCCGCCTTCCCGCATCGTGAGCGAGAGGCAGGCCGGGCTGCCGCGCCGATTCATGCCGGAATCTGCCGCCGGCCGGGAGGTGGTCGCACTGGGTGAGGGACGCCCGGCGCCACACTACCCGGGGCGGTCCGTCTTCTTCCTCTCTTTCGCAATGGCAGGACTGGTCCCGCCATTCTCTTCTTTCTTCATGGATGTTCTGGAGCTTTACGATCTCCAGATGGCGCACCTCACCCCCAACGTGGTAATGACGTTGGCCATCTTCGCGCACCTGTGCGAGATGTTCATCGGGGTGCGCCCATCTCTCCGGCTGTTCCGGTGGTTCTTCACCGTACAGCCGGTGTCGCCGCCGTCGGTAGTCGGTGGCTGCTACTTCCAGCCGCGGGGGCCGGTGCTGAACCGCTACATTCCCTGCGTCCTCCGCAAGAAGTGGGACGACTGGAAGAGCGACTGGTTCTACACCCCCCTCGCCGATGAAGCGCGCATCCGACTTCCGAGCCAGCCCCCGGCGCAGGCCTCCAACTAGCGGGCGCCGGTAGATCTGGGAGACAGCTACGACGCCGTTCTTGACCGCCTGGCAGGTCTGCGATCCCAGGGGCTCACGGGGGCCATGGTGTACGGCGACTACCTTCATCGCCGGGTCGCGCCGCTCCAGCGGCGCGCCCGGGGCGCCTGGGAGTACACCGGGTCCGAGGACTACATGAGGACCCACCAGGGGGGCAGATGGGACTGGGCCCCTGAGGACTTCAAGATGGTGGTCCAACGAGTGCTGAATCTCAGCTCCGTGGAGGCATCCCTCATCCCCCAAGGAGTCCTCCCCCTCTGCAGCGATCCAGATTGCGCCAACATCCTGACCATCATGCAGGCGGTCGGGGCGTCGGAGGAACGGGCTCCTCGAGGTCACGATGGCGCGGGCGGGAGCCGCAGGGGGGAACAATCTACCCCGGGAGGGGGTCGTGCTTCTGGGCCCCACGATGGGGGCCTGGGGTGCAGCCGTCCTGCCGACGCCCGGGGGAAGAGGAAGCAGGAGGGTACCCCTTCCCCATCTCCTCCCCGAGGGGGCGGGGCGGCGCGTGCCAGCAGCAGGCGCCCGGAGGGTGCCGTGCCGACGTCGCAGCCCGAGGGGGAGCGAAAGAAGAAGCGGCTCCGCAAGATGAGGGAGACCGAACCATGCCGGGGAAACCTTATCTCCCCCCAAGGTGGTCGTTTAGCCGACCTCCTCGCAGGTTCGTCCCCGCGCCCACTGCGGCCGTATTCATTCTCCCATCTCCCAAGGCAAGTTTTCACTCACCCGTTTCTTTTTGTCCTCTGGTTTTTCTTCTGCCTCAGCGAGATCCCGTCGCGCCCCTCCCGCCATTCCAAGTCCGGCCAGTCTGAGGCCGAGGAGACGGCGACCGCGGAGGCCCGGAGGCGGGAGGCTGACCGGCGAGAAGCCGCAGACCGCCTTCGGGAAGCCGAGGAAGCTGCCTAGGAGGCCGTCCGGGTTCGCCAGGCTGAGGAAACCGCTCGGGAGGAGGCCAAACTCCGCCGGGCCGAGGAGTCCGTCCGGGAGGCGGAGGTGGCGCGCGCACGCCAAGCGGCCTGCCAAGCCCCCGACCCGACTCCGCCCGAGGCGACGATGACTTCCGAGGCCACCCACGACGAGGTCGCGGGTGCACCGCTCGGGCCCGACCCCTCGGGCGACGTTTGGGACGTGCCAGCTTCGGGGGACGCCCCTGGGTCCGGCACGTCGATCGGCGGGCCGAGCCGCGCGGCGCCCATACCGAGACGGCTCTCCCCTCTGCCTTCCGCTGCCCTACTGAAAGCGGAGCCCCTCCTGCAGGCCTTAGCCGTCGCGAACACCACGGTGCTGGACGGGCTAGGTGCCCAGATGGAGGTCCTGCAGGCAGAGCGAACGGAGCTCGACGCGGCGTGGGTGCGCGTCGAGGAGGGGCGGCGCTCGGTGGAAGCCATGGTGGAGGCGGGCCGCAAGGCACATCGCCGGCACGCCTCAGAGCTCGAGGCCCGTCGGAGGGAGCTGGCGGAGATCGCCAGGGAGGTGGAGGAGGAGCGGGAGACTGCCCTCATCGCCACCGCCATGCTCAACGAGGCGCGGGACGATCTCCGCCTCCAATACGGGAGCCGGGCGGCGGAGCTAGAGAAGAAACTCGACGCCGCCCGAGGAGTCCTTGACGCCGCCGCTGCACGGGAACGGCGGGCGGCGGAGAACGAGGCGGCGTCCCGGCGGCGCGAAGAGGCCCTTGAAGCTCGCGCCAAGGCGCTGGAAGAGCGCGCCCGCGCGAGGGAGAGGGACCTGGCGGACCGCGAGGCCGCCTGCGCCGAAGAGGAGTCCACACTCCGCCTCCGCGAGGACGCGCTCACCGAGCGGGAGCGAGCTCTCGAGGAGGCCGAGGCCGCGGTGCAGCGGCTGGCGGACAGCCTGTCCCTCCGCGAGGCAGCGCGGGAGGAGCAGGCGCGCCGTAATCTGGAAGACGCCCGCGCCGAGAGGGCCGCACTGGATCAGCGGGCCGCTGAGCTCAAGGCGCGGGTGAAGGAGCTGGACGCGAGGGCGCGCAGCGACAGGGCGGCCGCGGGCGACGGCGACCTAGCCGCCCGCCTCGCAGCTGCCGAACACACCATCGCCGATCTGCAG